AAAAGGATTCTTAATTAATATGATCTATGAGGTTAGTATCGTTAAAAAATAATCTGTGCTAATTCTAAATTGCTATAAAACAAGTTTAGGAGTACCGTTGAATAAACTAGCCGGAGGATAAAATGGACTAACAATGAAATGTGTGAAACGTGACTTCACATTACATTACATCTAAGAGATACGCCGCACTTGCCTTCCTGCAAATGTAATATCATCTCCTCTTAGATCTAAGCTTAAGAGATTAAAATTCACGACAGCAAAACTCCATAGCAATGTCGGGACAGTTTTTGTGCCACTTTTAAATTACATAAATACAACCTATCAACTTTTTACTTTAATTTCATAGTGCACTTAACGAAAATTTAAATTTTAAATTGAATCGTTAACTTGGCTCTTTTAACTCGCATTTAATGCCACAGGTCCGTATAAAACTATAAGGTCAGGATTTATAATTTACCGAATGTGTTGTAGTTTCGATTTATTCGTATTCAATTTATTTTTCCAGACTAAAAAGTGAATATCCTTTTTTTTTAAATTAAGTAGCTCAATCCGTGTCGAACGGTAGCTGACTTTGAAATAGTCCAACCGACATACCATCTACATTCCATTAGCAAAGCCAACGTCTATTGATCTATATAGTCTGTGGCAGAAGCAACTGTTTTCACTGCAAACGGATAAAGTTAAGACCTTTTAATCAAGCGACAGCAATCAGAGCCGGTATTAGCTCATAAAAATATATATGATGAGTTATTCGGTTAAGTGAGAGCGTGTATTGGCTCTACAAGACGAATTTATCGCCAAAGGCTAGGACTTTATAAGATATAAAAAATAAATTTGTGTCAATTCTAACCGGGTTTCTTATCATATTGAGCCGAAGACGGCCATCATTCGTATACATATATCAGAGATGACAGATAATATTTCTCCCAAATAATTCAGAGAATCTTACTGCTTTAAACTTCAAATACATTTTACATATCATTTACTTCATTACTGTAAGCGATGATAAACAATTATTATAGGTCTCTGTGAATAATTATAAAGATAATACATATGTACATATAATATTAAATCGTATTGTGAGTAAAGGTTAACAAGAGGCTGTGAGGTTTTATCGTCGCTGTACACATGAGCTTTGCATTTTGATTCATATTCAAGGTGTTTCCTTTAATTAATAAAAATGAGAACTACGAAACTGACTTTATTATTTTTCATTACTACACGAACATGAAGAAAATGACGTCATAATATATTGTGTTCAATAAGACGATAATAAATCAATGATAATAATAGATGCTCTTTGTAAAGAACTAGAAAAGGGTATAGGTCCGTCTAGCCCGTAACCAGGAGAGTATGGCCTCGTTGTGCCACCGTATAAGGCCCATGACGGCCAACGGGCTTGCGACACCCAGCATTTAGGCTTAAGCTCTGAATTGTTTATGTGAAACTTGCATACTCACAATTGTGTTTTAAATGTCAAACAGAATAAGATATTATTTAAAAAATTACAACATTTATAAACATAAAATATGTAAGTATAAACTAATGCTAACGTTTCTCAAAACAATATTAAAATTCATGAATTTAAGTCGAAGGCTATAAATAACTTCTACGTAAACGTTGAATCCTTGGCAAAAATTCACCCAACTTCCAAACTGGGGCGAACAATCGCTTCTAAAGATACGGGAGCGATTGGTCATTATGTCGCCAAATATGGGATGTGGAGAGCATTCTCCAAAAGTGGACCAAAGGACGCCGCAGAGGACGGCTGGCAAGAAGTCGAATTACCGGCTTCAGGGTTATTTAAGGAACTGATAGTTCCGAGAAATCACTCACGCAATGCCGTACTACTTTTGTTATGCGATGATGCACCGGTTTTTTTATTAATTAGCCCAAAAAATCATTGTTTCTGATATTTTAAGCGTGAGATAGAATCTTTTTTACAAGTACAGACCAGATTTTTTAAAATTTTATTCACATCACGTTATCAAACCCTTTCCTTATCTTTACACGGTATCTTAGTCAGCTTCGATAGCCAATATAACTTTCTTAACATATTATCTAAAGTTATCCTTATCGATAACAGAACTATAGGAACTGTGACTTCACACACGACGTACGATAACAATGTAGTACTAACATATTGATAATATTGAAAACATTTGAAACAAAATTTGCAACAATACATCAAAACATCGAAAGTAAATTTTAATTTGTAACAATGACTTTGTTAGCTGCATTACGATGACTGAGCGTCGCATTTACTCCGCACATTGTACGTGGGTAAATGACCGAAGTACAAATGATGCTATGCATCCACATAAGGTTCTAAGGGCCGAATACATTGTAACACGTTCTGTGAAAGCATCCAAGCATCAGAACTAAGTCCAGTTAGTAATGCGGCACAAAGATTGAAGTCGCCTGATACAGAAATAGGTTTTGCGCGGCAAATAAATGATATGAAAGACAAATGGGGAGCTATCCATTTTGTGTTAGGAATGGAAGTTATTAATGATAAAAGTCGATATATCAACACTTTAAGATATATCGATTTTATTTTAATGTATAAAAATAACGGTATATCGGTCTAAAAGCTATAACAAATATGCGGAAAACGAGGCTAATTGAAGCTCTAATGAAAAATCGACAGGCGTTAATTTGCAGTCAATTATCGTTCCACAGCCGTGACAACACGCTACAAAAAAAGACCCTACATGATTGTATACATATTTATGTCTGAGAAATAAATAAATAGATATATATATATTTCTTTATTTTATTAACTCTTATTATATAGTCAACTTTACAAACAAATCTTTTAAGTACCTAATTGCGTATTTAGAATATTTGGAGCGTACACAAATCTAAAACCTAACATAAAGTGTCACTTAAATTGATTAGTCCATTTTTTATAGTACAGTTTTATGCTAGACCCAATAGTTTAGTGATATAGCAAATACTAGAGCCAACCATTAACACAATAAGGTCTACCACTAAGATGCATACAATGTACAAAGATAAGGGTAGATTTAGATTTCATAGTTAGTAATCTCCCATTATACTTTTGTTATCGGCTATATAAGAACAAGTTGGAGTCGTTACTGATGCATTGTTATCGCTTTATCAATTTCGATCTCAGGAACTATTTATTGACAATTTATTAGTTTGTCGTGATATAATTTGTCATTTAAGTCACTTTCTAAGCGGATCTCAATAAACTTTTGTACCACGTTTACGATGTCTCACGCCGTCTGTTTAATATATGTCTTAAGTAAAATGAATTATTGATATTATTCTAATATTTATCTTATTCTATTGACAGTATAATGACGTTACGAACTAATTTAAAACAATTATTAAATTATAAACCTATCTGTAGATGTTTAAGCAATACAAATACAATTTGTATTTTCACTAAAAACTTTTATGTCATTATTCTTGTAAAGACGTATTTGTCCAATTTCTATATTAGTATGTTATCTGTTTCAAAAGTCAAAGCAAACAGATGATATTGCAATATCGCTGTTATCGTTCAAAGTGAAAACTGTTCAGACAATAACGCGTTTTTTAAATATTAAAACATATTTCCTTAGTTTCTCTTCTGATAGTTAATTACAAAATTACTTTAATGTAGTTTCGTAGCTTTAAAGAAAAAAGGAAAAATATTATGTTTAAATATATAGTAAGTAACTAACAAAACATTATTTTATTACAATATTATTAAAAAAAATATTACAATTGTAGTATGGGAAATGTTCTTTTAGGCTCATTACATAAAAAAAAGCATTTTAATGTATGCTATTAATCACATGAATACAGTTATTTAAACATAAAACAAACAAATGAGCATCACAACACGCGAATGGCTTCCAAGAAACTGGAAAGTATTTGACAGCCCTGTAGTATCCTTAAATAGAGCCCAACCTTGCTCTTACGGATCGATAGAGCCTTGAACTACGACCGCAAAACCTCCCAGAAAACCCAACGGCGCGATGCAAATACAATTTAAACTATAACATTTTATTTACTGCTTTTATACGACATGAACTTTATTTTCTTTGTACCACGTTTAACTATCAACTCTTTAATCATAATAACATTATAATTCAAATTGTATAAATATGTTGTTAAAATATATAGATAATATAATTTAAATTAGTTTACTATAGAGTATAAATCGACATTTAAAAATACATTTTATGATTTGACAATTAAATCCGGTTGCGAGGGAAAGAGTGAGATATTAAAAAAAACAATAACTAAATAAATTTGGAAGTTAAAGGTCTTATGTTAGTCATGGCTAACCAATAAAATATCTCGACATTATCTTTAAATAAAGACTCATTCGCAATCCGCAATACTGAGAACAAAACGTAATTTAGATAAATTATTTAATTTCAATAATATCTGTATTGAAAGGAACCGAGAAATTTTATTGTCAGATAAAAAAAATGTAAGCGCTACCTTATCTTAAACACTCTACCATATAATTTCAGTAATTTCAGAAACCCGTCCATTTTTGTATATTATATAATTGTTGATAATATTACATCGTGAATTCTTTTATGTAATTATGATATAAATATGATGTTGTTGGAAAAAAGCTGAAATAACATAAAATATTGTATAGAAATAATGAAAACAGATTTCCTTACATACAAAATTCTGCTTAAAACAGTCTCCTTATGTAACAGTAACATAATCAGTCCATAATCTTCCGATTATAGTAACATTGATTTTTTAATTAAAATTAAGTACCTGCCTTCAATTTTACTGCCATATTAATTTAATATATCTGTTATAAACAAGCATGCATATATCCGGTCACCGAGAACTCGACTACTGAAATTCAATGACAGCAAATAAGAAAGAAAAATAGAACTTAAATTTAATGCAATTAAAAATTATTTTTACATGCATCCGTATACATATATTTTAATAAGAAGAATTTTCTTCACTAAAGTACGTGTATTGTGCGTATGTACGAGGGAACTTCTTACTCACCTGCGTGGGTAGAACGGTCTCCCGGTTGAGGGGTATCGACATTTTGCTAGCGGCGCCGCCGGCCGCGCCCCGGCGCCCCCTGGCGTCCCACCATCCACCGAGACGACACTACGGGCCAGAACCCGCCCGCTACGGACGCGGTGGAAAACACTTTCCCGATATCGAATGCAACAACAAAAAAATATACCGACCGGGCAGCACTTCACAAAAAAATTCTCATCTCAGCTAAGTCGCTGGTCACAGACGGAAAACATGAAAAAACAAATCCGATATATATTTTTTTAATATATCGGACATCGGCGTGACTAACGTCCTCTCCGATAAACACGAGCGTACGACTGACGAGTGACGAGTGACGTACACACAGCGGAGTAGCGCGCAAGCTCACCCCGCGCGTTCTGTGCGCGAGCGGAGACAGTATTCGGATCCCACTACCGAGTACCGCGTGGGCTTGGGGTCTCAGAAGCACCTCCTTGGACCACAGACACGTGCCTCGCCACGGACGTAGTGCGATTATCGAGCGCGCGTACACATGCGCACTTCGCACCACTATTTGTGGCTCATTCATTTAAAGGTATCGCACGGTACACCTGAGTAAATATTATGCACCTGACAATAGGATCGCTATAGCGAACCGCTCGCTTTCCCGCACACAATAATTACTATCAACTCCTAGTAATGAGAATATGATATACTGAGCGGTAATAAATGCAGTCTTTTAACAATTAAATTTTATGTATTTGAGATGAAAGTTGTGGAATAGATAACAATTTATTTCTCTTATCTCTTAAAAAACATAAAGAGATTAGTACACTTTCCAACCTAATTTAGAAAATATATACATATGGACATTAACGTGAAATTTAGTTAACACGGACAAAAATAAATACTAATTACATTTTCACGTTGCAATTCTAAAATGCGTACAATTTTTATAATTTGTATTTCTCAGAGGCATATTTTATACACAGCTCATTGTTACATTCTCTAATTTTACAAATTTCATATGAATATCTGATTATATGTAGTTCCAATTGAAAGTAACTCTTCAAACATTATTTCTTATAAGGTATTAATATAAGTAGGGTGTTAACTTAGGAATGGTCATACGTGGGCGCTTCTCGAGGTAAACCTAAGTTCAGGTAGTTCGCCCACTTTTCCTTTCCGCTACGTTCACCGCTCCAGATTACGTCATTTGCAAATTATCGCAGTTTATAATAGAATAGACGGATTGAAAAATCACTTGCCTACAGACAATCATCAATAACAGAACAATGAAATAATTAATGGACATATATATTAAACATCGCAGATTATAAAGTTACATATGTAAATTATGTTTAATGATTTTGTGTTTAAGCTGTATATGAAATTTTTGCGTAATGAATTATACATACATCTCTGAAAAATACCAAATGCCGGATTTTGAGTTTCGGATAGCTCAAAGGTATAAATTAAAATATACTTTTGTTCTGAATCATCAGACCTTCTATGATTTAAATTTCTACACGATAAAAGTGTTTCCTGAAATGAGGTCGTGTTTATTGTAAGTATATTGTACAAAAAAATTAAAGAAAAATACGTTTCTTTATATATTTGTGTATTATGATATTTATTTGGGAAAAGTAAAAAAAAAAACTTAAAACTTTTTTATTATTACTCACTTGAGTATGTACTTGGAACTTTTTGGTACAATTTTACTGAAAATGAAATAATACAGTACTTACTTCCATATAAATAGTTTTGAGCGTAAGTATAATATTTAAACGTATTCTTTTTTATTCCTTTGATTTAATTCTAAAACTCTACCTGACTACTACGCCTACTCGAAAGTATTCTCTGACAATCACCGAATTAATTTTGATATCAACCAACACATTGTCCTAATAAAAGTAAGATTAAAACACTTAATCTCTCTTTAAGTTCATAGTGCAGTTTGTAAACAAATTTTATATATTTTATATGTCACTTAAAGTAATTACTTTATGCAATATAACTGTGTAAACGAAAGAATCTTGCAAAATATTAACTTTGACATATCCAATAGGTATAATATTTTTTAGTTATACATAGCTTATATAGGTTACGATCTGCATATTGTAGTCGCATATTTCGTACGCATTCCAAACATATATCAAATTACCTGAACTCCATCCATAGCACCCTCAACCATGGTCCATCTCCCATAACTTGTCATTCCGATAACACAAACACTTTGAATAGTTACTTAATAAATCCAATAAGCGTCAGAGAATTACAAAAGCAAGTTCACTACTGTGACACTGCAATGGCAAATAGACTATTTAGTGCTTGATTAGCACAAAGTGTGCAAATCGGTCGACCGATTGTAAGTTGTGTAGCAGTCCGCAGATTGAAATTGATTGCCGCAAGTTATATTCATTGACGTGATTGAGTCGAATGGATGAAATGGACCTTGCGATGTTGTTATGGACATGACGGAGTAGCTATCATTGTGATACTTATTGATGTTGAAATCAATTAACAGGGGATACTGTGGGAATTTAGTGTCACATAAAGTTTAATATAAAACTTTTACACAAATAAATAAAGCTACGCTGCTCTCAATAAAAATAATCATTACAACTTTTTATATGTACGAGGCATAAAAAAATTAAGAAACATTTAATTAGTAAGACTTTTTATGATTTAATCTGACTAAAATAAAATAAAAGGACAAGCTTCGTTATGTTTAATGAGCAAAATTTGTTTGAAAAGCTTGGATAAAGTCTTTTCAGTAAAGTTATTTCTTTCGTCTAAAGTTCGTTGAACCTGTTTATAGGACGAACTCTGTTTATTTGACTAGTTTCTATGAAACATTTTTCATTGTTTTAATCTGTAATTTAATAAATCGTAAATATCTAACATTTTGCTGAAAATGAAAATGTCAATAACTATCTAACAAATTACGCACACATATCCACCACTAAAAATCATTTAGATGAGACTAATGACTCTTGTTTTCATTGGAAAGCATAAAAAATTACTTTATATTAAACTAATGTTATATAAGCGTTACCGACATAATAATCCTTGATATAGAACATCGTATTTTGTTTGTTTAATAACGTTAATATTTATTATAACTACTCAATTATGACTACCGTTTTAGCTTACATCGATTTAAAGGAAGTGTTTTATCGATAAATTTTTGTAAAGTAATAGTTTTTTTTAAGTAGGGTTTTTTATGTTTTGTTTTTGAGTATGGCATGATTTTTAAATGGAACTGGATCGGTCACTCGTTGTTAGATACCGATTGATATTTGTAAATAAAAATTAATTGTTAAGTATCAAGATGTTTTCTTGTGATCTGTACATCGTGTTATAACCTACTAAAAGCTAGTGAAAGCCCTATTGAAATATAATAGTCTTAAAAACGGTTCCTGAGCGTAGTTGAAATGGAGTGTATATTACATAAGCATATATGCTTAAACTTATAAGTTTGACCCAGATATTAGGACCTAGGGAAACCTGACATAAGTCCTAATTGTTTGTATATATACAATTATGCAATTGTTAATTTGAAGCCGTGTAAGACAAAAAAGACAAGAAAAATTATGTAAAATTTTTTACTATGATGGGTCATCATGATTGAATGTTTATATATTGTAAATATCAGTTAATGTCGCCTGGTAAACATATTTTTAAAAATTAGGCCCTCCATAGACATGAGAAGAGCCAGCGTGCTACAAAATAATGGTATCAAAATTATTACCCCAAACGTTAAAAAAATAATAAAAAAATTTAATTATAATTAAAAATTATGAGTTGTTAAATATTAAGATTTTATCAAATTGGCATAATTTCTGTATGATCATTGCAAAGGATCATATTTATTGAAATATTAATTTTAAACACAAATTTATATTTTCTGTTAGATAATAGCACTAAACATGGTGTCATTTCTAATTACATATATATTTTTTTAAATAAAGGGCTGTTTTTTTATTATTTGGAAATGTTAACTTCGACACCAGCCAGTAAAGGACCAACAACACTACATATAATCGTAATTTTAATTTAAATTTAGCCTGTAATATTGAAAAGTCTTTAAGTTTTTTTGACCTTACATTTCAAGCAATGTCTTTGTGTATATTACAGATTAGTTTGGTAAAGCCGTCATTGCGTTTAGGTAATGCAAACTAACATCGTTTTAAAATTACAACGTCTTATGTCGTGATAATAGATACTATTTATATTTAATGTTAAGAGTATGTATAAGATATTACAATTTTTGTAATATTTATAAAAAGAAAATGAAGTTGTAGGAATAAAAGCATTATTTCAAATAAAACCAGAGTATTTTCTATTTCTGAACTGCGTTTATTCATAATTTTATAATAAAACGCTAATCTTCAACTGTGCTTTAGTTAATACTTTAACGCTTTATTATTCCAACCCGACCGGATATCCGTTTGTTCTGATTTTCGATTAAAACTGATAAAGTTTTATAAATCAGTATGTAAAAATAACATTATTAGTTATTCATTTAATGTTCAGAAACCGTATGGGTCTGTATTGTCAGTACAAAAAAACAATATCTATATGTAAATGCTTGTAAAGGTGGAATTTAGATCGATGCGCTATCTTGTGACAAAATGTCGCCTATTGCTTGCTTCGTCTACCCAAACGTAGATCTCTCTCAATCTCATACTGTCGTACATCAGTCCTTTCTAAGAAGTCACGTCGGTCTAAGAACCTGAAATAAAGGTAAATGTTTATTTGGAACTGGCAACATTTATGGAACAAAAAAATCAATTCTTATTTCAAAACTCCAGTTTTTTTTAACTTAAATTCTACAAAAAAGCTAAAAAAGAGTAATATGTGAGTGTAATTATTTATACATGTATGAGAAAATTTCTGAATACATCCACTGTACTAATTTTCATACACAAATAATTGGATAGAATATATTCATATGTTTTTATAATATTAGTAATAAGGGTATTATAATGGTAGTATTTATAACTTACCCGGATTTTCCTTTATTATGACTAGTGATCTCTTCTTCTATGCCCTCTTCCCTCTTATAAGTGTTCCAATCAAGTTTAGATTTCTCTAGAGTTGACAGTTTGTTCTTTTTATTCAGCTGGCCCAGAATATTAGAAAGACCTCTGCCACTTCCAGACGGGCTTTGGAATTTGCTTACTACGAAATAAATAAGATGGATTTAAGTACAAGTAAAATAAATATATTTTTTATATACAGAAAATGTCTATATACCTTTGGGTGTCTTCTCATCAGTTTTAATTTTCTCCTTTATCACATTATTTTCAACTACAATCGTTTCACCTGCGAATTCAAATATTCTTTTCTCCCGTTCGTCATCTTTTGTTTCATTTTTGGGACTTGTATTATTTTTAGGTGGCAATACTGTTTCGGGTTTTGTAAGTTTTGTTTCTTTAGATTCCTTAGCTGGTAAATCTTCCTTGGGTGTTCCTAAGAACTTCGCCCAAACCTCATCTTCTCTCTTTTTTATTTCTTCTGGATCAAGTAAATCCTTTTCACCGTCTTTTTCATTTTGTTCATCATTTGAAATCTCAGTATTACTTTTTGCCTTTATTTTCTTTCTGCCTCTTACTGGCTGTTTTGACTTTCGTTTTTTAGACTTAGGTGTTTCTTCTCCATCGGGCTGTTCTTCTGACTCATTACCAGATTCCTCTTCTGATAACTCAGTTTGGCGTTTCAATTCGCTCTCTCCAGGCACATAAAGTTCATCGCTTTCACTGTCTGAAGACATCTGAAAAATGTATATGTGGGGTGAATAACAAAGCAATTTATAATTTTTACGTTATATTATCAGATTTTCTAAAATTATTTTTAAAATGAATGTTTCTTTACAAAGTTTTTTCAAGAATACTAAGGCCTAGTTTATGATTATTCACTGACTCAATAGTTGTTACTTATTTTTTAATTTTGTGAATTATGGCTAATTAATCCAGATTGATGAGTAAAATTATTATGAAAAACCAAGAAGTAGCATATGTGTGCCTTACTACATTAATAATTACAGCTTTTAAAATCATGGTGATTAAAAGAAACACATTGACAGAAGTTTGTTTTATTCAACTTAAAATACATAAAGGTGCGACAAAATATTTAAACGGGTTTCTTCCTATTTCTATTTCTGTTCTTAACATTTGATACTTCATAGAAGTTGCTACCAGTTTTCGTTCGTTTCTGTGCTCTTTCAAGTGCTCTTCTTTGTTTGGCTGTCAATTTATTTTTCACTGGTACTTGTGTGCCATCATTTAATTTCTTCTTTTTGGATACTTCTTCAACTATGAATGTGCCACTGGCAACTTCTAATTTCTTCCTCTTAATTTCTTTCACAGTTTCTGGGTCATTTGTTAAATGGTCTTCAACATCGCTACATACATCTTCGTTATCACTGTAGAAGTTGCTTATATCTGAATCACTATCATCGTCGTCTTCACCTTTTTCTTTATTTTCTTTCTCCTGTACCTCACTGTCCTCATTCTGTTCATCGATACCTTTCAATTCTTCAGGAATAGAAACTTCTTCAAGCGGCCTAACATCATCTTCATTATCAAATTGCAGGCCTACTCTAATTTTAGCAAAATCTTGTGCTATCACCAGTTTGTTTACTGTAAGACTTGGCTTTTCTGAATTCTCATCTTTGGATTCGTTTGATTCTGTGGCTGGCTCTTGAACTGCTTCTTCTGGTTTTTCTTCTGCAACCTTCTCTTGTGATTCATTTGGTTCAATCTCTTGCTGTTTGGTCAAAGGAACTTCAAAGCCTTCTGGAGCAACATAGAATGGTAGTTTGCCTCTTTGCCAATCATTCAGCACCATTTTTGCTACTTGAGCTATATCAGGTTCACCTTTCTTCAATAGTTTACCCGTTCTAGCTGCAAGTTTTTCTAAGAATTCTGTTGCTGTCTCAAAACCTTCAACTTTGTATGTTTTTATTAAATATTCCTTCCTAACTCTCTTCAGAACTTCCTCAATATAATCTTCAGGGTTTTGTACGAGTTCAACTCTCACAACACCTTTCAAAACTTTTTCAGTATCAGTTTCTGCTGATGGGTAAACAATGCCGGGACAATCAATAAGATAAATTCTTCTCATTAATGTTATGTATTGCCATACTTTAGTTTCACCAGCAATTGGGGCAACTTTGCACACTTTCTTAGCTCTCAATGTGTTTATAACAGATGATTTTCCAACATTTGGGTAGCCAATAAGGCCAACACTGATTTGCTTTTTGTCTATATGTAGTTTAGCAAACTGACGCAATAAATTAATAAGTGAACCTTTACCAAATGGATGAGTCATTGAGGCGTGGAATGCTACAGTAGGATATTCTGAACTAAGTATGGCTACCCATCTTTGTGTGACCCAATTTGGGACTAAATCAACTTTGTTTAGTATAAAAATCAAGTGTTTATGAGGTTTTTCTTCTCTGAGAAACTTTTCAACATATGGACATCTGGTGCCCATTGGGTCTCTGGCATCCAGAACTTGTAATAAAACATCTGATGAATCTATAACTTTGTACAGTTCATTCCAAATTCTTCTACTCATACCAGCTCCAAAGATCCATTCTCTCTGCCCCTCTCTGACACCATCATCATCACGAACCCGATCTACATCCTTTGTTTCATCATATTTCTCTGTATTTTCCTCTACAGCCTTTGATAATGTTTGTAGGTCATTAAACTTTAAATTCACCCTCTTCCTTTGTTTTTTAGGACCAAAAGTTTTGTCAAACCCTTCTGTATCTAACAGATGAACTCTGGCATGTTTAGCCTTTTCGTTAAGGAGCGTAATTGGTAAATTAGTAGGTTTCATTATAACTTGGTATGGATTTTTAACGGCAGCACCAAACTCATCTTGGAACTTCTGTAACGCATTCTGTGATATCACTCTTGAATTCCCGAACCACTTTTGGTTTGGTTCGACACGAGCTTGACTACCTGATGGTAGCCAACCTTGGAATGGTGCGGGAGTTAAAATTTTGCCAGTTTTATCTCTCTTAGCCTTGAAGTTCCTATACATTTGAAGCCTCTTTATAGTTCCCTTTGTACGAGGCTTTCCTACTCCTTGAAGTCCTTCTGTAGGCCGTTCAGGGTTCATAGAATGGCCAGATTTATTGAAACCCTGCTTCCGGGGTGCACCCGGTGCGGACCTCACTTTCCCCATGTTTGATTTGTTTTTAAGACAACAAAACTAGAATATGTAGTATTTGAATTTCACAAAAAACCTTCAAATATAAAATTATAGGTTATAACTTGAACATGGCATTCGCTCTACCACTGCCATATACTTTGACAGGAAAAAAGCGCACTAACTTCACTCTGTATTATTTATTATGTGTATTTACTAACCACCACAAATATTTTAATATACCTCACCTTATTTAACAATTTCTATGGCAGATAAGTTTTCAGTTTTTACACAATTACTTAACAAGAGAATCTACATAAATATTAAATACACAATTTTAACCGTTTCTGTATCCCAGAAGTCAATACTTTTGCTAACTTCATGTCATTCTTCAAATTGGTGTTTGTACTCTCGAGAGTGGGGATAGTTAAATGTAATTGTTATGAAACGAAATAAGTTAGTATTATAAAAGATAATTATATAAAATAGACGTTTATTTTATTAAATATACAAAAGTTGAAATAATCATTATCATATAATTTCCTTGGTTTTATTTGCATTTAAGACTTTATTCACACTGAATTTGATAATACCATTCCAATATAATTTTTTATATTTATTGTAATTTGTAACGAATTACTATTTCTGTTTTCTAATGTTAATAAAAACTTGACAATGTGATATTATTATCTATATGCATGAAAACTTTATTATACATCTGTTATTTTTCGGATGATTGATGATTCTGAATTCTACTTTCTGTGTCCTGTCAAACAGAAATTGACAGACTTATTTCTGAAAATGAATTCTGCTAAACGATTAAAACCTTAATATTAATATAAAACGATACATATCATTAAAATTCAAACTATAAAATACTTAAGGAGAAGTGAACTTATATATGCAAAGAAGTGCGATCGAATTCCTTCGATTTCGAAAACGACCTCCGTGTTGTTTCTTTTTCTGTTATAAAGACTTTATAGTTATAACTAGCCCGATGCATGCTAGCATCAAGTTTTATGGGACAACATGTATGACATGTTGTCTGAATTCCGAGTCTCAGAATTTGATTCGTTTGTGAATATATTAAAATTGACTCCTATCGATCCTTTAGATACTTTTGGCGAGATGTGGTACCCAGTGTTTCTGTGGTCTCTGTGCTCATCAGTGGTTGTCCACACCTGTGCGGCGCTTGTCGCGTTTGGTACTCTTAGGAAGCATAAATATGGAAAGTTTTTTCCTGTGTTGTTAATAATAATGGGTGTTGTGTGTCCAGTGACTTCTGGTGTCGCAAGTAGTGCTGCTATCGCGTTTATTTACCGTGCCGCTAATCTAGCTATGCCACCTATCCATGCCATGATATGGGGTGTAGGACAGACTATTCTAGGAGCTGGAATCGGCTTCACTAGAATCTTAGCTACATTGTAATAATAACTTAGCTGTTTTTATACAAATAATATATATGGACTTGCTAGTTCAAATCCGCAGTTATGTCAATTATCATAGAGTGTTTAGACAAAATGTAATCTTTGAGGGATGGTGCTGATTTTGCATAATATCGTAAGGTGTACACTGAATGTATTCACAAAAATACTCATTAGAATTATTGAAACACTTTTGAAAGTGGCATGATATCTATCTCATTGAATGCATAAGTTTTAAGCATTATAAGTCTTGTGTATTGCCTTAATAATTAGATGATATAATGTATTAAAGTTACTTAATGAATAATCATCTGCATAGTCTCTTTTAGTTTTTCCATAATAATTGAATTGTATATTTTTTTAAATTGTTAGTTAATATCTTTTATACTGGAAAAAGATTTAATTTGTATCAATAAATTGTGATTGGCTCTTCATTTCTAAAGTACCTGTTTCCGGCATCATTGCATTCCAACATACTAATATAATAGTAGGGATGTAAATATCATGGTAGGAGGTGGAAATATTGTGGTAAGGGGTGGATCATGGTAGGGGGTAAAAATAGCGTAATAGGGAATGAAAATATCATGGTAGGAGGTGATCATATTAAATATATTACAAGAATGTCTTAAAGTTTTGTGTTGCCTTGATTGAAAGTTAAAAATAAAAGATAAAAGTGTGATATACATTTTTAACCTTATAACATACATGTTTTACTAGTTATGGTTCTCATAATTAAAAAAATGTTTTTCATATGTAACAATGTATGTAAATATGATATAATCAAAATTATTTGTGTCATTAATTCAATCTGATTTAGTTGAAACCCACCGACAAACTCAAAAGTCATATATAGATATATGTTTATATGAGATGTAGCTTTAATGTAAGTGCAATGATGTAAATATTTGTAAAACTTATATAGAAAAATGTATTTGTCTGTGGTATTTTCGTTAATTTTTATTTTAGTACTTATAAATGTATATAGTGTTGCCATCGCAATATTTCTTGCTTTGTTTATCAATTTAGTATGTATAATTGTGAACAGCATTAATTATAAACTGGCAATAATTCTGTTATGTTTATGAAGATTGTATTTGTGTTAAAAAAACGATCATATATATAAATTACAGAGAAAATATAAATAAAAGTCCAGTTTTCATATATATCAACATTTTGAAATATAATTTTAAAATAACAATTTTGTTTAAATTAATCCATTAATTGTTACATTAAAGTAATAAATTAAAACTCCTTTTATACATATTTCACAATGAGACAGAAAACCATTTTAATATATTTAATTTCTTTTAGTATCAAATTTAAATACTTTTGAAAAGTAACTTTATACATAAATATGTACACAGATGCTTTATATGCATTAGAGAAAATACTAACAATGCTGTATTATATAATATATATTTTTTTCTAATACCCATTAAGTCTCTTATATAAGATATAAGAAAGTTATTCCGAGATATTCTGACTATAAAGTGCTGCTGTGAGTATACTTTGTCAAACTTCTATTTAAATTTGCATTACATCTATCACTATCTTCGTCTTCATGGCTAAGCTCATGAATCGTCTCGTCTAAAATTAATGGCAGGTTGAGGTTCAACTCGGCAGTTGCTAATGCATTCTGAAAAAAAGACATGATTAATGTATAAAACATATATTATATGATAATACTTCAATATATATATATATATTTGTTTTAAAAATCTATAAATAATTTACCTGTTCATCATCTGTTGTTCTAAGTCTGCTGACACGTTCTTGGAGAGATTTTGTTTCCGACGTAGCATCTTGTAGAGCTAATTTCAACTCTATGCATTCCCTTCTCGTGTTTGAGAGTAAGCGTTCGGTTGTTCGTAACTTCTCCTTTAAATCCTCTTTCTCCGATTCCAACTGAGTCTTAACACTAGTCAGATTTCGTATTCTATTTTCATATAATTTAACTTCTGAATTATCATCACTTTTAGGTATCTTGTTGGTTTGTAGATTATTGCACATTTGTTTCAGACAGCTAACATTCTGTTCCAATATATTTTTCTCTTCTGTCATTAGTTTTATTTCATTTTCTAATGAACTAATCTTGCAAGTCATAGCCGCTATTCTAGCTGACTGACTGTCAATGACGTGTTCTTTATCCACAAGTTTTTCTTCCAAATTTTGAATTTTACTTACATATGACTGAAGTTGCATTGACTTAGAAGCGGATTCACTCTCTAACGAGTGGTTTGTGTTTTCTAAAATGTTAGCTTCGACAGATAAACTAGCAAAGTGTTCTAACATATCTGATCTTTCAGCTTCCTTTTGAGATAAAAGCTCTTCGATTCTCCTAATTTCTGCTACATAATGTTGTAATTGCTGTTTCAGGCCGTCAACGTCCTTCTTAGATTTTTCTAGTTCAATTCTGGTTATTTTCAAATGTCCATTAGCATCAGCTAAACTATTTTGTAAATGTTTATTTTCTATCACTGCTGTATCAAACTGTTGTGTTAGCCTTAATATTTCACCATTAAGGAATGTTATTTGTGATTCATAATCCACTACTTTGTGTTCACTTATTTTATTCATATTAAGTTTTCTCTTTGTATCACTCAATTCATTTTCAAGCTTACTTAACTCATATGACTGTGATTTAAGTTTTTGTTCTAGAACACTTATATTTTCAGTCTTTTGATCCAATTCAATCACTAGTTTATCCCTTTCTTTATCTATTAATTTTATATTATCTAATAAATTAATATTGTCATTTCTCAGTTTAATTATTTCAGACTGTAAATCTTTGCATTTATTTTCCAAACTTTCATTACTATCTTTCATTAGGCTAAGTTTCTTTTGTAGCGACAATAATTCATTATGTGCCTCAGCACTGCTTCTTTCTGTTTCAAATTGTATATTTTTAATTTGGTTTGCTAATGTCTTCTCTTTGATGTAATCAGATTGCATCTTCTTCATTTGCTCTCTTAAATAATTACATTCCTCTTTTAAACGGTCCGCAGATGCTTGTCCGGTCCTGTGGCTCATTTTGTATGAACAATTTTCTTCTTGTAAATGTTCCATTTCTTTGACCTTATATGCTAAATCCCTTTTTAACTTATCAGCTAACTCCATGGCTTCCTTGTACCGCATGTGGTATTCCTGTTTATCTTTCTTTAATATCTGGATTTCTCTTGACATGTCATCAATTTTTTCATTCAGCTTTTGTAAATCTTTCCTACAGTAATCACCTCTATCATTAGTATTCAGAGATTTGTATTGACTGACTTGTCGACTGAGAGATATATTTTCTTTTGATAGTTCTGTATTTTCATCATTCAGTTGTTTTATTATGTCTTTATAATTATGTTTGCTTCCCTCTTCTGTGCTATATATTTTTGTCTGCAGTTCGTCATTCTCCTTCTTCAACATTAGAATCTGTTGCTCACTCTTACACAATTTATTATGTAGATCTCTTATGAAGCTGTTATCGCAAGACAAGTTTGATGATGCTGGAATTAAATCCTTTTCTTTAGAGGCATGTTTGTTGAAAAGGTTTATTGTTTCAGATAATTTTTCTTCAAGACTTACTATGTATGTTTCATATTTCCTTCTTTCTTCTTGTAATAATTCTTTTAATTCTTCCTTTGCTAAATGTGGAGTGTCCTTAACAATTTCTGGTGTTACTTTGCTGTTAAAGTTTCTATTGACTTCTGTTAGGGACATAATTTTTTCCTGTAAACTCTTATTGAGATCTACTAAATCTTTGATTTCTTTATGTAGAACCTCTTTCTCCATCAAAGCAGCTGCTAAGTTCTCTTGGAGTTTTTGGGTATTTGTAGAACTATCTCTTGAATATCTCTGTGACGCTTCCTTTTCTAATTCTGAATTTTTCATACTCAAACCATCTAATCTTGTTTGCAAGAAGTTCATCTCATTCATCATGGATGCTAACCTTTTATTGCAGTCATCTTCAAGTTTTAATGCTAATTTATCAACTTGCTGTACTTCCTCTTGAAGCTTTTTATTCTTATCTGCCAGAGACAGAGCACGCAGCATAGCTTCATGCTGTTTCTCAAGACTATTAGCTACTTCTTTTTTGAGTGATTCATTGGCTCTCTCCAATTCTTTCACTTGTTTTGTAAGATTTTGTATTTTAATGTTAGGTTGATCATTGTAGAAGTCTTTGCTCACAGCTGTAACAGGTCTGCCGCCATCTAACAGAATATTTAGTCTAATTATTTCATTATCTCTCTGTTCAACTTGGTTTTGAAGAAGAGTTATTTCATCACTATACTCAGCTATCTTTTCCTCCAGTGACTGAATGGTTCTATTCTTTTCCATGGCATCTTTATCTTGAGTGTTTGTATCATGACATATACAAACTTTGGATGTTAAATAATCACCTCCATCTTTTCTTCTGCTCTTATTACGGCTGCTCTGTGTTTCCGCACATAACCCTCTTAAACTGAGGTCTCTTATGTCATGTTGTAATTTACTAATCAATGATTCCTTTTTCGATAATTCATCAGTGAGATTTTTTATTTTACGTCGGCTTTCTTTTGTTATTTTTAAATGTTCCTCTTTAACGAGCATAATTTCTTTATGTAATTGATTGTTTTCCTGTATTAATTTAATATTATCACATTTATAGGGTTCGGCTTCCATCATAAGAGCATCTCGTTGCATTAGGGCCTCTTTGGATAAATCCATATAATGCTGTAAGCTACGGGTTGTTTGTAGTAAATCAGCAACAATACATTGAACTAAAGGTACCGAATCCAATGACAATGTATTTGTATAGCCTAGATCTTCTAGTTTCCTTTTTAAATCAAAATAAACGTCACCCATTTTCACTATTTCAATATTAATGATATATTTAAAATTAAGTACCTATTTTTCCTTTATTACGATCTAAAATTACAACAGTAACATTTCATGTTAATAATATAACAACAAAACAATATTTACATCATGATTCAAGACGGTTGTCTTAGTTCACATTCCAACCGTCAACGGTCAAATGTCAATGACGTTTGTTTATTTCTCTACATTTAACAATAAAGCGGCTCAATAATCGCCATCACATTGGTTATTGACAAACTTTCTTACTTCGAGCATAAGTGAAAAATATCAAAACAGATATCTTTGTTCAAATGTGTTAACAAAAAATAATTGGTAACAGTTAATTCAATAATAAACTTTTATTTAGAAAATTGTAGGGAAAAGGTGACATCGATTAATAAAAATAGTATCCTAACTTTCAATAATTCAAAGAAGAGAAATGGAAAAAACCAATTTATATTTGATATTTAAATATTTGAGATTATATTCCTTTTTAATAATCTGATTTACATTTATATTAGTTTACCCTTTATTTTTACTTTTTTCTTCTTGACGGTCATTTAAAATCTTCAGAGATAAGTCATCGTACCTTATACCTATTGAATTTGTAAGCTTGTATCTGTAATGTCATTTGATTTTGACTTTTGAGAGTGACAAGAAAAATAGATTTTTTATTTTCAAAATAAATATATTATTTTTAATACGATATGATGTGAGAGATGATACAATTATTTTAGTTGAAATGATTGGAGTTCATTAATCGCTCTGCGAACAAATGACTTAGAATGTGAAGTCTCCAATACACAATTACTTATTATACTTACCTTCTTCCGTTTCATAATCATAAAAGATGAATCCGTATAAAGATGTAGAAGAGAGTTCCTTCGTCGCTGCACCACATCTTACATATGAAGATATCGCTACTAAGCTACTTAAGGATAACTTATTTTTAACTGCCCTAGAACTTCATACGGAACTTGTGGAAAGTGGCAAAGAGTTACCTCAGTTGAGAGAATTCTTTTCAAATCCTGGAAATTTCGAACAGCATGTTTCACGAGCTTCAGAAATTGGAACTATTAGTAAGTGTTACTTCTGTCTTTTGTTAAGTGTACAGAATATTGTGATTTACTTAATGGAAATATGTTTTAGATCGAACTCCAAGTTTAGCGACATTGGATTCGCTGGATACAGCAAGATACTCTGAGGATGGAGGTGGTGATCGAGCGGGTAGTGGTTGTGATGTTGCAGTTTTAGAATTTGAACTGAGAAAAGCAAGGGAAACAATTAATTCCTTACGAGCTAATCTAACACAGTTTGCTGGTAAACTTATTGTTTATATTGTACATTATAGAACAAAAATCTACAAAAGAAGTTTAAAACTTACTTTTTATTGTACAATTTGCTATCTCACATGATCAACTATTTATTTTATTAATTATATTCATTGCCAGATGAATCACCTCTCGACAAGAATAGTTCCGAGGCTGATAGTCAAAGGACACTTAAACCACATGAGAAAAAAGCTCTCAATTTTCTTATAAATGAATATCTTCTTCTTCACAATTATAAACTAACAAGCATTACATTTTCTGATGAAAATCCAGATCAGGTACCTATACTCATAATATCTTTCATATTTAATATATTTTAAAAGAGAAATATTATTAATAGTCAATTATTGTTTAGGAATTTGAGGATTGGGATGATGTAGGTTTAAATATTCCCCGACCAGCAAACCTTATGTCTCTATTCTGGGGAAGTACACGAAGTTTAAGTGTACCGAAGGTAGATGTTGCTACATACACAGATTTCTCATGCACAGACAACGAATGCCAAACGGATTTGGATGACAATGTGTGTGTGAGTTGTCAGACTTTAGACCATGAGACAGATTGGAGCCATGAGGTGATTTGACTAACATTTACTAACATAACATTATATTATTTTAATTCTTATCTTCTACACACTATCATAACTTTCTTTTAAATGATTTTATATTCAATAAATACTTTTTACAATTTTTCTGAAGTATTTCCAGCCTGTAACAATTCATTATTTATTTATTATCATGTGTGTAACCTTGTGTAAGCCTCAATAGAATATGGAAACATAATTATATGTGTGTGAATGATGTACTAACAAAATGTACCTAGCATAGTAAAACTTAACAATATTTGTGTTTTAATCTTATGTGATAAATACTATGAAGATATATATGTGTACTGTATATGTATGTCTAATATAATGTTTTTTAAGTGTAATCTTGTACCACTTTAGCTTCTAATTCAGGTAGAAGAGATAGAACTATTGAAACAGAAAATAATAGCGCTCGAAACGGAAAAATTAAATTTCCAAAAACTGTATGATGCTGCCATTGTGAGTCTCAACACATTAACAAGTCCGATGTCGGAGAGTAAAACACTCGAATTACAAATACCAGATGAAAAACTCAATTCGAATTTGAAAGAGCATTTAGAAGATATAAAACCTCTTACGTGCATGGCTTTGGAAAATCATTATGGGAGCGGAAATTCAACCCACAGTGCTACACCTGAGCAATTTGAAATGATTTATGGTGATAAGAATAATTGCATGTAAGTATTTTTTTTACATGTATATGATATTAAATCAGATGATGTTTCTGCATCAGCTATTATGCTATATACTTTTTATCAAACTGTTTTTTGTGTATGAAAATATCAGCCGCCTATCATTTGCGTAACATGACTGGTAACAAAAATGCCCTCGAAACCTAAAATTAAGGAATAAATTCTTTTTTTTTTAAGTATGTGTATCATTGTAAGACGTAGTTAAAAATCCTTTCCGTATTTGCCGGAACAATTAAGAAATAATTACGGATACATCTATACAGATCATCGTATTTATAATACCAATACTTTTTATACCAAGAATTAAAATCAACATATGCATATTATGCAAGATATGTATATAACTATTTATGCAACTGCGGAAGATTTTTTTCACCTGTAGTTGATCAATTTTATTTCAAAATAACTAGGTCTGTATGTCGCCGAGTTACATGTTGTGCTGACACTCACTTAAAATGTGATTTACACATAATCTAATTCTGTATTTGGTATACATTCGCTTGCGTAATACAATACTAGTGAAAAATTACGTTGCAATAGTTAAAAAAAAATTGTTCAAGTACATTTATTTTGCTTAAGACAAAAAATGTACAATTAATATACCAATACCACAACAAAATTATTATTACCTATGAAATACACAAGGATGCAATTTTGTTATGGCAATTAATTCAATTTATAAAAGAGGTTTCGTTCTATATATTTTTTTTATTCTTCTCCTCAGCCTGTATATAAATAAATATCAAAATAAATTTTTGTCCGTCTGTTGCACATTAATTGCTAATCCGATATAGATCATATCAAGATAGACGTTACTTTAGAGTTTAGATAAACATTTGTATAAATATATTCACATATTAAAATACCATACATATTTAAAATAATTACCATATAAATGCTAGTTATTATATTCAACTAATTGTTTAACATTAATTTATATGAATTCTTACATAAAAACAGAGTTTTTTAATGTTGATTTATTTTATTAATTTACAGGTCAAAAAAGGATGGTTCAAACACCAGTTCATTTGATCCGGCAGTATTGGACAGTGTCCGAGGCTCACCGAGACGAGCAAGTGTCACCACATTGGATGAAACTCTCAGCATTAATGATGCTGGCGAATGGACCAGGGTTCACTATGAATATAACACTGTAGACAATAACAAAGAAATGTGGATCGATAGGTAATAGACTATTATTTTATTATTTTCAACTATATTGTCTGAATTTCTAAGATTTGTTATTAATTTTGTTTGTAAAAATACCCTCACTGGTTGTATAGTTAATTGGTATCAAATTAATAGTTTACTGTCCAATACAAATATTTTTAGGTATTTTTCATATTATAAATATATTCCTAAAATTTTGTCTCTTTAGGAAGTATAAGAAATGTGTAGCTGGCTCAATAATTCTCTTTAAAAAGTTATGAGAAAGAAATCACCACATATTTCGACATTAAATCATATAGGTTCTTTTGTATTTGCAATACAATTAAACAATTAACAGATATAAAGGCAAGCCTGCACTAATTAAGAGAAAAATTATTGCATATTTTACTGCATTCTTGTCGGATGATGTATGTAGAGAGGTTCTTACAAGTATACTATTACTAGAAGTGCCAACATAATATAAATTACTCAATACATAATATATTAAATTAAATATTAAATTAATTTTCAGTGGTATACCAAGTGCCTTGAAGGATTTGATATTGGGTTGGTGTAATGAGGCGTTAGGGACAAATGGATCAATTAACAACGATTTACTTTTAGATCTTGTTAATAGTGACAAAACAATCACATTGTCTGGATTATTACCACTAGTAGCGGACACACTACCAAGGGTAAGCATTTATATTTTATTAATAATGAATAATGAAAATTAAATCATAACTACTAAACTTAACATCCTTAATATTAATTTTGCATTAGTTTGAATTAGTGAAAACTACAAAATATGTATTGATAATTTATCTCCTATAGTATTCAGATGTATCTATAGTATTGGAAAGTTTTATCAAAATCAGTTAAGTATATCTAACGTGGAAGTATAAATGTTAACACACCATCGCCCATACATACTGATAAAGAAATATATTTATTAGATATAAGACTTTCGCGAGTATTCATTTAAATGAAAGTAATATTTTCCGATTACTACTCTTAATTTGTTATATTCGAAAACTACATACTCCCGACGTTTCGGTTACTTTGCAGCAACCGTGATCACGGTATAATAATATACTCGTGGTATTCGGAAAATATTAGTTTCATTTAAAATAAATATATTATTAAAAAGGGATTAATCCTTTTATACATTACTAGCTGCGCCCCGCGGTGTTACCCGCGGATTTCCGGAATTTTCGGGATTTCCGGGATATAAAGTAGCCTATATGTTATTCCTATACGTCAGCTTCCTGTATACAAAATTTTATCAAAATCGATTCAGCCGTTTGAGCGGGAAGAAGTAACAAACATACACACTCACAAACTTTCACAATTATAATATTAGTAGGATTGTAGTATAAGAAACATATTTGCATTAATAATACCAGTATGTAGTACATACAAGACCCTTCCACACAGGTGCTCCCCCATACTCTCGTGTCTCGTCGCGGCGAGGCCGCGGCCCTACTGGCCGGTGCAGCAGCCCTACTGTCTCCAGGTGACGCCAGGCGCTCCAGACTCCTGCATACACTACTCACACTATACAAGAAACCTGATCCTGAAGACGCGAAGATCATATGTGAAGGTAACCCTCTATAGTCTAAGCTGATATACAAAAATAATCTTGGGATAGAGTAGATGATAAGGATTTAGTAAGAAAATTAAGTGTTAAGCGAAGACAATACCTTAGAGCCCCGTCTCGATATAACGATTAGCTTCTATACAGAATGCTTAATCCATAATTTCTATTTAAGACAAGATAGCTTAGTTGGCAAAGAAACTAAAAAGCAATTTTCTAGTAGTTGAAGTTCGAATTCCGATCCTATCGATTATTTTGTTTGATATTTTCTATAAGAATTTAAAAATTCAATTATAACTTGAATGCTAAAACCATTATTGTTGTGAAAATTTAAGCAAAATACAAAAATTAATCATATGAAATGTCAATCCAAACAGTTAAGTTCTATGATAATTTAGTAACGAACACACAGGCATTCAAATTTTAACATAAATTAGGAAATAAAAAATCTTCAAGGATGACTGCTAACATAATTTTATATTATCATTATTAATATTTCAGCAACACGTCTCGTTGTGAAGTGGGGCGGTAGTGGGGAGGTTTTGTCTTCTATAGCTGAGCTGTTAGGTTCAAGGTCATCTGAGCGAAGAGTTCTAGCCAGCCAAATATGCTTGGCTATAGCGCCTTATGTGCCCATAGAGTTATGCACTTCACTGTTACTGAGTTTAGTGATGTTAATGAGTGAATCAAGTGAAATAGAAGTGAGGAATTTCGGCCTAAGAGCAGCCTGCCTCATATGTCCAGTGGCTGAACACAAGTATGGACAGTTGGAGAATTGTATGTTTAACTTCTTGAGAGACAAAGATGAGAAGATAGTTAAGGATACAGTCAATATTTTTGTTCCTGTTCTAGCGAGGACTGCTATCATATCTGGTGAGTTATACATTTTATTTAATCAGCTTTGACCAAAACCATATGTACTGAAATATAACATAGAAAGATTTTTCTTCACTTAATTGTTATTTATTTATAGATGAAAATGTATGGGATAATTTTGTTATTACTCTCACTGTTAGATATCTGATGTAAAATAAGTTGGGATACTTTTATATTGTAAATTTAAATTCTTATTTGTATTCATCAAAATAAAATATAGACTGACATTCTACATCGATAAAACCATGTTCAAAGCTAGTTGGTAATAATAATGGTTATAGAATTGATCTAATGATTATGTTTCAGGTAAATTCTCAACGGATTTATTCAGCAAGGTGCTATCGAATTTGAACAAATCTGCCTCAGATAGTGAATGGAAGACAATGATTCTTTATTTAGAGGTCCTACAGTCATTGGCATCGGCTGAGCTAGTGTATGTAATGAGTGTACAGCTAGTAAGGGATGTGAATTGTGATATTGTTATGTCCGAAGTACCATTGAGTGATCAAATAGATGTATATTACATGAGTGAATCTGATAAAGTGTTGTGTGTGGCAATGAACCGTCTGTTGAAGGAAGATCCTCATATAAGATGGAGCGAACTAGAGTGGTTCATTGATGTGTAAGTGATAATAACATGATATTATTAACTCCTTAAAACTTGATAAAATATTATTCCCTCCAATGATCGTTAATTAAATTTCAGAGACTAATTATTACTCAATATATATGTATTAATTTCTTTATTTACTTTTCTTAACTGTCTAGATTATTGTTTGGTTGTGTAGAATGAAATTATGAACACATTTTTTATTATCTATATTATATGAAATATTTACATTAACTTTTTTTTACTATACTATAAAATACATTTTTCAGTAAGCTCAGATCTAAAACCTGTCTTTGTAAATTAACATATAATTAGAACCGTTTCTTATCAATTACTAAATAACATTAAAAATCAATAACATTCTATTAAAATATCATGTTTTATTATAGAATTTAAAACAACTTTTATTTTTCAGAACAAAACAAATTTTAGATATAGGAATCAAATACAAGGCGTTGAACCATGCTGCGGTATATGAAACACTTATAACATTGTTCCATACATATGTTGTTAAATTTGGTCATGACTTCACAAGCTCCATACTCAACGGCATATTTACTGAGATTATATTAGATTTAGAGAATAAATTAGAGAAATTACACGCAATAAATGTTGAAAGTATGGTTGTTGTGGGCATATATCTGGCGACTGTTTTGATTGAAGTAGAATCCATCGATCAACAATCGGAGTTCTTACAGAAGTAAGTTGAGTTTTTGTTGTATATAATTATATTTTTTGTGTAATCTAATATTATTTTTATAATTTTATTTCTAGGTGGACTATGTATAGCAGTATAAGGGGATTACCACCAAAAATATTGTCGATTCCATTGAAATGGTTATCTCAACAGAGGCCTGACACTCTAAACACATATATACATCATTTACGAGAATGTAAGTGAATAACAATAAAAAAATTATCCTCCTTAGGTATTAGTACCCCAGATGATATCAAAAGCTCATTCATTTGTTAATTTAATTAAATGAAAAGAAATAAAAAACAATAATATAACCAAAAATAACATAAAAGTCAATCTGTTTACAAAAATTATCTTGTTACATTGGCATTGTACTATTAAATTCAAACATATGAATATATTTACTCAGACAAAAGATTTTGATGTATCAAAGAAAAGAAGTAGAATACTTCTTTGTCTTTCCACTAAAGACAAAATTAAGGACCTATAATTTAAACTAAAAAAGTTTTTTTAGTACTAACTAAATTATTTCCTATACCCTTAGTTGCAGCGAGCAGCTGTGACTCATCAAGCGGCAGTACAATACGAATGTTCATAGCTAACCTCATAACGGAGTTCGTAAACACGACGGACGTCAGCGAGGACTGTATCCACAACCAGCTGTTGCCGGCCGTCATCGCACTGCTATATGATGATGACGTGTGAGTATGGAAACGGTTATTTATGTAAGAGACTAGATTAATCTGCGTTACCTCCAATTAACATATTTTTTGCTGGTAGATATCTAATTAGAACGAGTCGGGATACAATTCTCAGATAACTTTTTAACGTTTTCATTCTTAAGATTAAATATATACATACTTATACTAAGCTTGACTGATGCGTGAGCTTCAGCCTATATCCTGTGAAAGTAATACATGACACTTCCTCCTCAACATAAAATCAGTTTTCGTTATATGACAACTATTTATTAATAAAACTTTCTCAGGTCATATTTGCTGAACTATTCATTTGTCACTTTAAATAGATCTATTATGTCTACGATTAAAATCCATCCAATTAATGCAGAATACCAAGTATACATAGCACAAACTATCTATTTTATATAAAATACATATTTGCCAGGAAGTTCCAATTTCTATAATAAATCCAGTGATCTAATATTTTCAAAAACTTCATGTCAATAAAACTATGAATTCCAGATCCGTCCGCGAGGCGGCGATATCGTCGTGGGGCAGTGTGTCAAGGTCGTGTGTGAGTCGAGGGTTGTCCTGTACTAAGAACTGCTGGCCGGCCTTCGAAGAGTTAGTACGGAGACCTCTAGCGGGCAGAGAGGCTGCGCGGGCGGCTGAGGCACTCGCTATGTTATTACTACCCACAGACGGACATACAGTTTGCGAAAAAGGTAATACTATGGCTATTAAATCAGAAATGTACAGCTATATACTTGCGAATTGATAATTATGCACTATACAAGCTATATTTACGATAAAAATAATGCTATCCACACATCAAATATGTAACTAGTTATCCACTGTATAAACAAAAGACTGGCTTCCAATAAAACTAACTGCTATCCTCTACTTTATATTTCCAATCATAAAGTATAAAAGTTTCTAAACGCGATGTTTTCTCACACTGTTTCATATAGCGGTGTCGGTGCTATGCTCGTTGTCTATGGCCGTGTCTATGGTCGATAGTGAAGTGATGTCGTCTTTGGCACCAGCGCTGCAGCTAGCGTCACATCACTGCCCTCAACACCCAGCCTTATTACCAACTCTCAGGTACACAGACAAACATACAGCGAAGATATTTCAAATTATATATTAGGCATAAACAATGATCCCTTTACAATTGGGTATAATGACTGAGTATGAAAGCTTCATCTCTTCCTGTGTATGTAAGAGCTCATTAAAAGCCAAGGTTTCGAGTGTTTGCAACGCTGTACTACAATCTAATAATGGAATAATGTTGTACATTCAATTACTGTCCAAGACCTTTTAAACTAACATTAACTCCTTAGGATATTTGGTATTAGCCAGACTGTCAGTCAAAACATTTTAGTGTTTACAAGAAAAGGTATTATACCGATATAAATTTTAATAATGTTAGATAAAATCTTTATCCAGAGTCAAAATTTCAAAAGTTAACTAAAGTTGTCCTTATATCCAAAGCGACGGTTTACTAATAAAAATGTTGTCTTAAAAATCTCATCAAACACGATTCTCAGATGAAATATAACCAAACAAGTACCTTAGTAGATGTGATTTAAAAAATGTTTAATAACTAAATTTAAAAAAAACTCTTTTATTATAGGAAATTAGAGGAAATCGTCCAATCACCTTCCATGGCCCAATACAAGCCATCAATAGAAGCCCTTCTCCACGTGGCCGGTACTGACGCTGTAGACAGTTCTCCTCGGCCAAGCAACCTTCACACAGCACAGGAAGTAGGCAGACGAGTCACACAAATCTTCCAACAATCAAAAACAAACATAAACCTTCCAAATATATTTAGAAAGAAAACTTAGTAATACGTTTTATACTGCTGCATTACATCGACATGCCAGAGGCAGGTGAGATTTAAAAAAATTGGCAGTAGAAGAAATTATTTGTTTCATATGTTTTAAATCAATACCTGAGACCTTTGGAAACAGATTTTTTTTAAATAGCCTTTAAGGTCAAAAAGATTTCACATAATTTAACTCTGTAATTATGACTATACTCCTTGTCAAAGGTTTTAATTTAAAAATAAAAAGACTACCAAGTATTCAACTATTTCATGAAAGAGATTCAAACTATTTAAGAAACATTATTTTCAATACTTATCTTGTTATTAGACTACTGATTGTTCATAACTCTCCTGACAAGCATAGCTCTTGTTACACCGGATACAATGTTATACTCTATATACTTCTCATATTATTTAGTACCAAAGCTTCCAAAATCTATGTTTTATCACCAAAATAGTCTGATCACTAATCACAGATTCAATTATTTTATATTTATTGTTAAAATATATATTTTTTATCTTCGGCTAATCTCTACAGCTTATAAATGTAAAGTATATTTTGTGATGACAATGAAATTATTAAAAATATTTCTCATATAATTATTAATATATAATTCTCATTTATTTTTAATTTTAACTTAACAAATAATAAATCTTCCTTGTTGTATGTAATGTGCTATCATGTGATTGAGTGCTTTGTACTTTGTGCTTTATTGTTTTAAATATTCCATCCATTTTTCATTAACCTAAACTTTATTTATTAAATTTATGAAAATTTACCAATATAGCTTACTGAATTCGAGCTATATAACTATATTTTTATAAATCATAGTAAATAGGCATATGTACTTACTCACAACATTCCTTATTAGTTTTAAACCGGCAATAATAACAGCTTTATTATTAATTTTAGTGCAGTACAAAATAATTATATAGTTATATATAGCTTAGTTATAAGTTAAACACTTAGATTCTCTGTTTAGATCAACTTATTATTCCCTGGTGCTTTTTGTGCTCCCAATATTCACATGTTTTAAAACTTCACTCAAATAAAAGCTTATTTTCAAATGTCATTTAATATTTATTGGCCTATACTAATGAAAATAAGCCTTAATGTTAAACTTATAAAGCTATATTTCAATTGTTACTATTTATATCTATTCTATTGTCGTTTATTCTGTGTTACGTTTTAAAATCTTGATATATTTAAAGTGGCAACATTATAAAATATTTGTATAAAATCTACCAGTGAATCTCCTTGATGCAAAAACATTGTGTTTTGCTATTTGTGATAGGATCTTATGAATGACAAAAAGTTGTACCTTTACATGACAATGTGAAATAATTATGTGAAATATGTATAATATATATTTTTATCCTCGTTGAATCAAATACTGGATGTTTCTGACGCATGAAATTTTGGGTTGTGTACTAAAATAGTTAAATATATTATTTTTAAACAAAATTCTAGTTTTATTTTCTATTGATTAATTATCTAAAGAGCAGAATGTCTAAAGTTTACACTTTAGAGTAACGCACTCGGCGCTTGTTGGTTCAAGGTGGGGCGGTACTAATGATTCAACAACATTTTTTGATACCGTTCCAGAAAGTCACTTAGTGATATATATATCAATCAACACTTCTGGGTATATTTAAAATTCATGGTTATCATTTTGTGCAAAAAAATAAGACAAATAGATACCACGCCCTTAAAATTAGATATTATACAAAATCGTAAATTTATACGGCTTCATACGCTTCTCAAATAATTTTATCAAAATATACATCTATACTAATATTATAAAGCAGAAGAGTTTGTTTGTTTGAACGCGCTAATCTCCGAAACTACTGGTTCGAATTGAAAAATTCTTTTTGTGTTGGATAGTCAGTCCAGTTATCGAGGTAGGCTATATAACATCACGTTACAACCAATAGGAGAAAATATATAGTGGTGAATATGTAAAAAACGGGAGGAATTATTTCATCTTTGAAGACTTCCGTTGCGTGCGCCGTGAAAACGGTTCAAGATACACAAAAAATATGTATTAAAGAATAATAGCTCTTTTAATGATCTAAAAAACAGTCCGTGACAGTATATGTCTATCCTTTAAGATTAACTCACAACAACCGTTTTTGTGGTACCTAATTTGGTCGAAATAATATGTTTAAGTTGTATCAACATAATAATATTAATCTTTTTTCAAATAAACAAATAAATATGTTGTTGGTTAAGAGTACTTCATTGTGAATAAAATTGTCTTTGACATAACTTAATTTCAACAAAAAACTTTAAAGATTACAATGATAAAAAACTCCGAAACAAAACCAACTCGCTCTCTGCGCTGGCCGGCACGGCGGGAGATACGCTTTACTTCAGTTTTCATTTTCTACGTTTTTTCTTCATCCCTATAATGCCGAGAAAAAGAACTCAGCTTTCTCGGCAAACTGCTTTGCGCAGCAATGAAACTGAGGATGACAATATGCACAGGTTGGCTACACAACGAGCAATTACTGAACAAAACCGTGCAAGGGAATCAAGCGATGAACGTTCGTAGCGTTTAGCCAATAGCCTCATAAAATTTCCGAACTTTGGCGAACCGGCAACGGGAATCGAGTGCTGATCGAACTCAAGATCGGGATGTGGCGAAATCAATATGTTCTTCTGCTACAAGATAATAAAACAAAATATGTAGTATATGCAGAAGTTCTTTAAAATAATTAAATATACTTTAAAAATTGTACAGATACAGTTTGGAACTCGAAAAAAAAACATAGGTTTTATCCTGGAAATTCTGCGGGAACGCGACCATTCCGAAAATCTCACAAGAACGGGAACTATGTGGGAAGAACCAAAAATCTGCCGGAAGTCACTATTCCATGCGGACGAAGTCGCGGGCAAAAGCTAGTGTACTGTGTATGATATAGGCATAAGCATTAGTTGGACATTGGATCCAAAATAAAACTGAGCTTCGGCAAAATCAGATGTCCTTTAATTGGAGACTGTCAAAAACCGCAAGAATATCTCGGTATATTGCGATGGTACAACATATGTATTTTATGTGTACAATATTGTGATTTACAGTTTACTATCAGTGACCGGCATACTCGTACGCGAATAAATATATCAGTTTCCTAGAGGTGGTGTGTTCAAGAAACGATCTCTTAATTTTCAAAATTTATCCCACGTTCGATGAAGTGAAAAACTTTCAACTGGTTTTAATAATTAATTATATTTATTTATAAACTTTCTATCAAAGTATACTCAAAAGATCAAATAATATAGTCATATATGGTCATAGTTGCTATTATATAAATATTTAATAATCTTTATTAAAAGAATGGCAACTTAGTCAATTTCATAAATCAAAATCATTCAGTCACAATTGACAACCCACATTCTACACTATACTCTTTGACAATATCTCTCAACTCTTGAAGTTGGAACTTGGGAGTGCTTTCAAATATTAAAAGTCTCGTTCATTTGTTTATCAACTATTTTTATTCAACTAAAATGTCTGAAAAACATTTACAAAGCGGTAAATATAATGTTAAACGTGTATTTGCTAATTTCTTCACGAACAATATAACTAAATTGTTATTATCTTTTTTTTTCCAGGCGATTCACTGCCACCATTTGCCGGAAAATTGCGGTTATTCGCAATGAGATTCTGTCCCTACGCCGAAAGAAGCGTTCTTTGTTTGAATGCTAAAAAACTTCAATATGATTTAGTTTTTATAAATTTAGATCACAAACCAGAATGGATTTTCCAATTCAGCCCAAAAGGTACGTCACGTATTACAAGAAATATATAATATTATTATCTTGAATTAATTAACATATATTACTGTGGTTATTCTAGCAACTTTTTCCTCATGTATGCATTTCAACTGACAAAGCTGATATATAATTTTTGTGTTTATACAGGAACAGTACCAGCTTTGGAGTATGAGGAAGGTAAAGCCATTTTTGACAGTAATGTTATCAATGTCTACCTCGACGAGAAGTACCCTGAAATACCACTCCAAAATTCAGACCCATTAAGAAGAGCTCAAGACAAATTGCTCGTTGAAATGTTTGCTGGGGTAAGATATTATATTTCTTCTTATAAGATTCTACTATAACTTTTTACTCATTTTCTTATTCTGTTTTCATCACCACTAGGCCCAATCAGCATACTACACTGCCGCATTCAATCCTCAAGCAGTTGAACCAAGCATGGTTGAGAACTTCCATAAAGGACTTGAACTTCTGCAAAAGGAAATCCAGTCTCGGGGAACTAAATTCTTAAATGGGGATGAACCTGGACTTGTTGATTACACCATTTGGCCATTCTTGGAGAGGTTTGAAGCTCTTCCAATCCTAGGAAAACAGGAATTTGCCATTGAAAAATCAAAATATGAGATTCTTGTAAGTCTAAGCACTACTTATAACAAAATTCATGAATAAGTGGTAGAGCCTATCATCATGATTTAAGTAAATTATTTGTTGTTTAATATTTTCTATCTCACCATTTTCAGCTGACATACATGGCAGCAATGAGAGAATCACCTGCCGTTAAAGCATATGCCTTAGCTCCTGACACCCACGCTAAGTTTACAGAGTCTCGTGTTAAAGGAGATGCCAATTACAATATGCTGGACACAAGCGCTGTGTGTTGCATGAGACCAAGAAAGAAGAAGGAATAAAATTGAAATATTCCAACTTCCAATTTCTTAAAAAGCCATTATATTCATATTCCAACAATATGATACATGCATTACACTATGTATACTTGAAACAATAAAAGTACAAGTCTCGATTGGTTTTTTTATTTGAAGTCTGTGAGTACATATTTCATACGGATGTATTAGTTTTTCTTCACATGCTAATGCATATTATTAATAAAATAACTAAAAAACCGTTTAGTAAGAAATGTAGTGGAAACAGTTAATATGTATAAAACGATCAATTAAACTGGAATCTTGTCAAGTAATGACGCCGATTCTTCTATCAAAGTCTACTGCTTTACTTAAATTATTACGTTATTAAGATGTCTATAGAAACTTAGAAAGTATTGATTTTGGCCTTCACTTTTCGGTGAGTCAGAAACCATAAATAATAAGTAATTAGTTAAATATTAGTAAAAAAATCTATGCTATCTAAGGCGAGCACACAAATACCAAATAAAATTTCTTAAACCTTAATGAATTAACTAAATATAAAATTTAAAACAGTCTTAATTCATATCAGTACTGACAAATTGGCACTTGTCAAGTGAGATAGGCACTTGTTTTAAAGTGTTTTGTTTATTTGATAGGCATTATTTGTCCTATATAAAGTACAGACAAATATATTGATATATAATTTATATGGTAGATACTATTCTGAAAAATTGAGAATTTGGTTCACATAAAATTTTCTAAATCATAAATACAATAAACACAACAATGAGATAAGAACAGAGAATTAAATTTATAATATAGATGTAGTAATTTACTTTTTTTTACTTACAAAAAAAAAGAAGATTTATAATTCAATATCTTTGTTTAACCTTGAATGCATAAAAAAGTCTATGTTAAAATAATGACAGCGATGTCTAACTTTACGTTTACGTCAAGTTGGTTACCTGTTTGTTTATTATTTCATTGTTACAATTAATGCATATAAATAGACTGACAGAAAATTTTAAGACCTGTATCTCAAACGCAAGTCATTCTGTTTAGTTAAATTTATATAAAACGATAATAAATACGAAATGAGATAATGTGATAAAAAAACTTGTATTAATAAGTAATAACCATGATAACGTCTACTCTGACTTTTGCCATGCATATGCTCGTGTCATCGTATAAATTACTAGGGCCGGTCGGACAGCTCTTAGAATACGTTTTGCCTTACAGAAACATGGCTACCAAGGCTATCACTGGAAAAATTAACTTTAATACAAAGCACTTGAAACGAGGTAAGTAATGAATGTTCTTTTGAAATAATTACTTTGCCTGCTATTTGACAATTTCGAAAGAGATAAACCTTTGATAACTTGATGTTGATTGCTATTATTTGATAATTTTTTTTATCAACTAAATATTGTGCAATTTGTTCATGTATTTTTTTTTATAAGCATGATCATTAAATTTGTTTACGTCATTTTTTTATCAGCAACGGCTTAAGGAAACGTCATTTGTTTTGTAAACCGAAACAGACAAAATAAAATTTTACATTTTGCTTTCGATTCTAATATAATACAAAAAAACCAGTATGTATGTGTGTGTACACATACATAAAACACCAATTTCGTGTAAAGTAAAACAAAAATATGTATGTGTAAAATCATTTCAACAAGTTTTGTTTTCTGTTTCTTGAATAATAAATATCGTGATATCTAAGATTTTCGCGAGTACTCATTTAAATGAAACTAATATTTTCGGATTTTATTTCGCGTTTTTATTTTGGATCACGATGTTAATCAGCAACCGTGATCACGGATCACGGAGTTGCTGAAAAGTAGCCGAAACGTCGGGAATATGTAGTTTATAATCAAAAATAAAAATGAGAAGTAAAATCCAAAAATATTAGTTTCATTTAAATAAATATCGTTTTGTTATATACTAGATATAACTTTGACCATTGTATATTAAAAATAATTAAATTTTTCAAGCTTCATCACTTTGTACCATAACTGTAGGATACTTGAAAAGCAATCATTAATAATGAAAAGTATATTTATATTAGGTATTTAAAGTTTCACTCTGTTTAAGAAAAATATACACGTCATATAAATAATTTATATTAAGTGTCCACTTAAAAAAATCACAACAGTACAAAAATAATTTGATCATGTTTATTAATACATATAAAGAAAACATTAAAAATAAGATTTTGACATACTATAACCATTTCAATGATATCTTTTTAATCATGTTTATTTTATAACAAACAAACTTAATTAAAATATGAAACTACATACCTTACAATTTACATATTTCAGGAGATCCGTTGCCGCCTTACAATGGAAAATTACGAGTGTACAACATGCGTTATTGTCCTTTCGCGCAACGAACGATTTTGGCGCTAAATGCGAAACAAATTGACTATGAAGTGGTAAATATAAACCTTATGGACAAACCCGAATGGCTGACGAGAAAAAGTGCTTTCGGTAATTAATTTTATTCTAAAAACCTAAACATAAATGTCATAATGTAATTTGTTCCGAGGGAAGGGAATTTTTCTAATATGTCGAATATTATTTCATAGTAAAATGTTTCAGCTAAAGTGCCATCAATAGAAATTAAAGAAGACGTATGTATTTTCGAAAGCTTGGTAACAGTCGAGTATCTTGATGAAGCCTACCCACAAAGACCTCTGTTGCCAAAAGATCCTCTTAGAAAAGCTATGGATAAAATTTTAATAGAGGCTTCAGGACCTGTAAGATTTTTTTCATATATTTTACGTCTTCCCTTATAAAGGAAAATGAAATAACTAGTGAAATATTAGCTTAATCATATAAAAGTGGCTTAACTAAAGTATACTGTGGTAAGATTTAATGAAGAGTTTCTTAAAATCTATCTAATAAAATATACAACTAATATTCCAGATCCATACAATGATGATCAAAGTAGTCAAAATGCCAGATTCAATTACCGAGGATAACTTAAAGGCGTATGAAGGTTCTTTACAATACATACAAAACGAACTTAAAAATCGAAAAACAAAATTCTTAAGTGGCAATGAACCGGGCTACGTTGACTATATGATATGGCCGTGGTTTGAAAGAATCGGGGCGCTTAAGAAATTTGATGAACGCGCCGGGATAGATTCTAGTAAATTTGGTTTACTGGTATGTATAACTTGAGCCACACTAATAAACATTCAAAAGACATATATTTATATAACTTATACATGTAAATCTAGTGATTAGGTTAAAGTCCTCAGTAAAAAAAGCATCTTTTGATGGCTTTATTTACAATTTTTTGCTCATGGAATTATGAAAAAATTTGAAATAAGAACATTGCATCATTTAAGTCAAAATGAAATTATTTTATCATGATATGAAGTAGATACTGGCCATATATAAAAATAACATGTCTACTATTTCTTTTTTTCAGTTGGAATACTTCAGTAATATGGCCAAGGACCCAGCAGTTAGTGACTACCTGCTGTCAGATGACATCTTATATAAATATTTTGAAACTTATAAGATAGGGGAACCTAATTATGAGCTTCTTTCCGAACAGTGATATGAGATTATGTTCAAGCAATGAAAATAATAATATTATGTATATATTGTTAAACATTTTATAATAATGAAATAGTGTATTGTTATAATAATGCTCTATGTTGTTTAATATTTTTTATATTCTATGATATATACATTTAAATGATTTATTTAACATGTTTTATTTTATCCTCTCTGTAGAAAACTCAGTTATAATAATAATTAATTAATGTCAACACTAGGATATGGATAGACTGTGGTTTAGACAAAATATTTTATTTTATATCTAAACATGTACTTACAAAAATATCTATTATAATTAATAATTTCATAATTTACTCTTAAAATAGCATTTGGCAATAAAGCAAATTATATGTTATATGTATCTTGTTTCAATTACCTTCCACTGATTATAAAGAATTAAAACTAAAAAGGATTGGGTTTCAATTTAATATAATTTATTTTAGTAATTCATAAAACAAAAAAATCACACTTCTTAAATAAAAAAGAATACAAAGAGTTTCAGAAGACATCTTTGGTGAAACCCGTCCAAACACATTCAGGAAATAAAGAAATTATTAGTTAGAAAAGAATTTTTCAACATAAAAGTACAAAAAAAATTATAAAAATGTCAAAAAAATACATTATATCCCAATAAAAGTTCTAATTATTATTTAAATAGATCATTATGGGTAATGTCATAATTTTGGATATTTGTAAATTTATGTCAATATTGTTAATTATAACTAAAAAATTACGAGTCAAAATACCTAACACTAATTTAAATTAATCATGATCATGATAAAACTTATTAATACATTTTGTACTCTTAAATAATTAAATTTTAATGCACTCAGTCTTGTATCTTAATCTTTGTATTTTTGAGCAGCAGCTTCGAGCTTTGAAGTTATTGTCTTCAAATCTGTATTTTTGTCTAGCTTCAGATAAGTGGCGTTTCTTATTTCATGCAGTTTGATCCAATCTGGTACTTCCTCGGTCAAAAGCTTTATATCCTTTTGTAAATCATTAGCTGAGACGTTAGATTTGAAACTGCTATCGAGTTTCGAGAGCACTATATTGAGTGCGAGTACATTCTTCCTCTCCGTAACGAATATATTCCTTAAAGTCCTCGCCAAATCTGGAAGGCGAGTGTAAACCAGGTACTTGTGTTCAGTTTCTGTAGATCTGGTCATTGCTTCGAATGCTTTAGCAGCTTGTTTAGCTTTGACTTTTTCCAATAAGGCCGCCGGTAGGTTACGAAGTGCAGGGTTTAAAATTTGTATCCCGCTCGTCGAAGGTTTGCTTATCTGAGTAGATACATCCTTCTTTGGGGAATCATTCAAACCAGTGACTGCTTTTTCTTGTTCAGTTAAACCTCTGGCTTTAGCTTGTGCAAGTTTTTCGAGTGCTCTTTCCATTTTAGTATTACATTTAAAAAGCTCTCTGGCTTTCGCAAGAACATCTTGGGCTGAAGAGAATTTTTCGGTATTTGGCAATTCTGGCAGTTTAGCTCCATCAATGTCTGGAATCTTTTCCAGTTCAAACTCAGGATGCCATCTTACTAACTTATTATCAGGAATTTCGATCGGAGGATCCAGAGTTGAGAGAAATTGGGCATGATGCTTTTTAACCAATTGAAGTAAAGTATTGTAGAAGTATCTCCTCCTTTCAAGGAGAACGCTCGGATTCATGATTTTGATATCATTAGGAAAATTGGGAGATATGATGAGTTCAAATGTTTCTTTGTGATTTGAAGATGTGAAACTCTTAATCTTTTGCACTTCGAAGTTGTAAAAGTCAGGGACTAAATATTTTATTTGTGCCAAATGTTTTTCAGAGAAGCTTCTCTTGAGCATTTCTTGGATTGAAGGCTTCAGTTTATTGAAAGTGATTTTTTCATTCCTGTTATAGAGTAGTGCGACAACCGTTTCCATACCTCGGAATAGCTCAGCCAGAAATCTATAGTGATGTGGCAACTGAAGATTAGATGAAGCAGCCAAAGATGCATGTCTGATGTACGCTGGTACCTGAGAGATAAAAGAAGCATATAAAAATGCTATCACAACAATTTACATCCTCTAGTCATAAATAATTGATTTGCTTGTTAATAATTTAAGTAGTTTTATACAAAAACAAATCTTCAACAAAAGATATTTTTTAAATAAAAGCATTCAGAAATAATTAAAATTATATATTACAATTGTTTAACCCCTTTTTAAGTGTTATATATAAGATAAAAGCCCTCAAATTTAAGTTGCATTATTAGAGGGGCTATTGTAACACTTATCTTTCTTTGGTTCAATTATTGTTGTACATATGTGAATAATTACCAAATCAAATCCTTTGAAACTTACTTTGCTTGGACTTTTGATAGGACTAACAATAACTTTTCTTGGAGACAGCAAAGGTAACTGCTGAGTTGTGACACTGTCTTGTTTCGTAGGTGACAAGAACTCATGACGATTCAATGATTTTTTACTAGGACTGAAAAGGTAATAAACTATTAGTATCGCCAAATTTAAACAAGGTATGAAATTTAAGAAAATAAGTTTGCTTATAATTACCTCTGGGGTACATCCACATTAATAGATTTAAACTCTTTTAAGTTCTTTTTGTCACTACTCTCTTTTAATTCCTGTATACCTTTGCTAAGACGTTCCGCTGTAGCTCTCAATTCAGACAATCTGCTGCTGCTAGCTAACTTCTTTTTGATATCACCCAAACATAGTTCTTTCCGAGCTTGAGTGACGTGTTCCGTTTTGGAGGTTTCACTGTTTTTAGCAATATTAGAGACATTGATTTTTTTACTGAAGGCAACAGCTTTCTGTTGCTCTGACGTATTTTCAGGTTTTTTGGTCAACTTCTGCTCCGAATCTAGTTTCTTGGAATTTTCAACTTTGGTGACGGTGTTTAATTCTTTGCCATTATGTAGCAGTAAATCATTTTTAGGAAATGGAGATTTTCTTCCCGTTTTAGTGATTGGATCTAAACGTTCCAAGTGTGCTATTTTATTCTTCGTACTCGCGATATCTTCCGTTGCTGGTCTTTTTCTACTGTTAAAAAATGTTGTTAATGTCGTTTGAGACATTTTACTTTAGTATAGATTAATATTGCTGACTTTTCTGCTTATTAGGCTAGATGTGATTTCCCTCCAAAATCCGTTACGAATACAATTATTGACTTGAGTCTTCAAGTTTGAAGTATCTTACTTGTCAAAAAAATTATAGTAGTACTGTCAGTCGGAGTGAATATGAATGGCGGGGTGAATAGGAAAAAACGGCGTTTGAAATATGTACTAAATAATTATAACATGTAACTTCGAAAAATCGACAAACCACTGCATATAAAATGACATAAAAATATGGCACAAGATTTACTTGTGTACTAAAACTATTTACTTCATATGTTAAGTTTATAAAAAATTTTCTTGCCAATATAACTTTCTGAGCTTAAGTCCATGTTACCCTATACTGAAGTGAATTCAACTGTATCGAGTTATCTTAATTCGGTAGTTACTTATATATTGGAACAACTATTCTCAATATTTCTTAAAATTTATATGTTAGTGAAGTTCTTACATGTTTGTGTAAAACATTTTAGAAAAAAAAAAAGAATCATAAAAATATTATATGAAGTATAGGTCGTATAGGTGTTATCATCCCAACAATTCATGTTTCTGTTCAAAGAAATAGAAACTCTTGAAGTTTAATACTCTTCTAGTATTAGAAGTATTTTTTTTGACATTGATAATGAAAGGAGAGTTAACAATGTCACTGATTATTGTAGAATATTTTCACAAAATGATATGAAAATACAATGGAATTGTTTAATAAATTAGTTAAACTGAATGAAAGTTATACTTAGAAGATAAACATTTTTGGAAAAATCAATTTCAATATCGAACCTTATTATAAATAATGCAACCCAAACCGATACTAGTGAAGACACAAAATGAACCGAAAAAAAATGTAATAAATGCACCTAGCAGAGTCGTCAGTAGACCAGATAATCTTGAAGGTGGTGAAGAAACAGAAATAGCAGCTCAGATACATGTTCCACAAGATGGTGGCTGGGGTTGGGTCGTTGTTTTTGCAGCTTTTTTTTGTGTTTTTATACTGGATGGAATAACCTTTACTTTCGGAAGCTTATTAAATGATATTTCCAAGGATTTAAGTGTTGCATCATCTTTAATTGCGTTGGTGAACTCTATAGCTATAGCAATTTATTTTATTGCTGGACCTTTAGCATCGGCATTAATAAATCGTTTTGGATTTAGAACATGTGTAATGTCAGGATCTATTTTAAGTTCAGTCTCCTTATTTATTGCTTATTTTGCCAATAATTATACATCTTTTTGTTTGTTTTATGGAGTCTTTGCAGGCTTCGGTTTTTGTTTAGTAAATATGGCATCTGGACTGGTTGTTGGATTTTATTTTGAAAAATTTCGTACTTTAGCTTTATCAATAGCTACAAGTGGGTCCAGTCTGGGAATTATGTTACTTTTTCCTCTGAACACATATTTAGTAAATCTTGCGGGTTGGCGTACAACGACATTGTTGCATTCTGGTTTGATTGGTGTTACATATTTTTTAGGAATGACTTTTCAGCCATTGTTGTCATTTACCGTTGTTAAAACAACAGAAGATCCTACACGCACCGTTACCTATTTGCCCAATTTATCAGCTGCTGCAATGAAAGCAACAGTGTCGCGTACTAATGCCGATGACCTGGTACCTACAAAAACGGAGAGATTATTTGGAGCCGTATCAAATTTAAACTTTCCTACAGCTGCTGCTGTCGTAGAAGATGGTGCAACTCCATCCAGTACACAACCGGGTACATCTACTGGGCCGATATCTAAACTTACATTAACAGCCAACGCACCTCACGGAGGCATATCTCAGAGACAATTAAAACAAGTAAAATCAATAATTTCAAGATCTAGTGTTCAAGATAAAACGAAAAAGGCTATTGAAATCACAGTTAACGTGGAACCACCTAAGAAAACTAGTTGCTGGGGGCGCTTATGTCGTTGGGAAGAAGAAGTACCTCAATCTCGTCCTATGTATCGGGACGATGCGTTTTACGAAGGAAAATTAGAAAAACTCCCTGCTTATCAAAAAAGTAAGATTGCTACCGACCAATCGAAAACGGGTCTAGAGTACCAACTAGCTGTGTCTAGAGCAGCTACCACGGCTGATTTGGGTGAAAAAAGAGGCATTTTTACTACTGCTGTCCGAAGAGTGCTTGCTACAATGATGGATCCAAAACTTTTGAGAAAAAAATCGTTTTTGAGCTTATGTTGCGCAGGTTTAATGATATACGTGGGATATATGGTTCCGTATGTTTTTATAAAACCAAGAAATGTTTTGGCTGGCTTAGATAAAGATCATTGTACTATGATGGTGAGTTCGATAGGATTTGCCAATTTTGTAGGAAGATTAATTCTGGGAGGAGTCGCATTTAAAGTGAGTCCCCTAAAGGTGTATGTATTTGCAATGCTTGTGTCAGGTGTCGTAACAATCTTGTCAGATTTATCATTTAATTTATACTTCCAATACGTGTATTGTTTCGTCTTTGGTTTTTTTGTGGCCAGTGCCGCTTCGTTAAGGAGTCTGGTTATAGTATCTTTATATGGATTGGACAACTTAACAAATGCAACAGGAATTATAATGTTATTTCAAGGCTTCGGTAGTTTAGTTAGTACGCCTGCAGCCAGCATACTTATTGACACATATGGATATTCAGTGGCGTTTTACGTGTCTGGATTATTTATAACAGTTGGTGGTCTTATATTGATACCGATTTCAAGATTGGCAATCAGAGAGCAAAAATTAAATACTCCGTCGGAAAGAAGAGCATCAAGTGATAGGAAATAAATTTACTATAAAATTCATTAACTTATCTAAGGATATTTTACCGAATCAGATACTTTTATATTTAAATGAAAATATACTTTGTGTCTATGTTTTTGGTTTATCATTGTGATATTTTACATTTACATTATTTTTTTATTTCAACATTTGTTTAAAACTGTTTACTAAATACGGTACAAAAAGCACTGTTTTGCAAAAGTATTTTTTTACCAGTACACCTGAATAGTCAGGGAAAGAAACGGCGCAGTTTAAGCTATATAAGGTGATTTACCGAACAGCAACAGCAATAAACTTATTTTTAATAGAAACGAATTTATAACGAACAAAGACTGCTCATATAGTTGGTTTCGAACAGATATTTTCTGACTGATCGAGTTTCCATACGGAATCTTAATCATGGATTTCTATTATTACGGCTGAGAAATGATACGGAAAATATTCTGCTGCCATTATTACATTTATATGTTAATGTTTTTAAAAGTTTCATTATTAGATTGTAAAATCTATCTATCTGTCTAGAATCCTTGAAAACTGTTTTCAAAGTTTTATGTTTACATCATAACTTATTTTTAGAGGAATTTCATTTAATTACTCTTTTAACTTTGTGATTAATATGTAATACATACAAATATATTTTTAGAAGAGTACATTTTAAGGGTTGTTTAATAAAATAATAACAAAATTTAATCTGTAGTTTTATTTTCCTTTTTTTTTACAATAGGTAACCCTGAAACGGTTCATGTTCGAGCGCATTTTGTTCTGTCTGAAACCGGCCGCCATACTCAAACAAAAAGATTGAGATGAAAAGATAAATTTATTTTTATTGGAACTTGTTGAAAGTGTTTTAATTTGCTAAATGAGTTCTAAATCAGATGTAAATAGAAGAGTACTCGCCATTCAGGCGAAAAAGAAGAGGCATAAACTAGGAAAGAAAAAAAACCGTGAGGAAGATCACGGCGCTGGTGGACAGGGAAACGGGCTGCGCAATCAAAACCAGAATCGTCTTGAACCTACACATAGCTCTTCAAATGAAACGATTGAGGAAGACGAAGATGAACAATACGCGTGTAGCGACGACGAAGAGCAGGAAGACAGCGCGGATTATTGCAAGGGTGGTTACCATCCTGTCAAAATCGGAGATCTATTCCTGAATCGCTACCACGTCACTAGGAAGTTGGGTTGGGGTCACTTTTCTACTGTATGGCTGTGTTGGGATCTTGTGGATAAGAGATTCGTCGCCTTAAAGGTTGTCAAGTCGGCACCTCACTTCACAGAGACGGCGTTGGACGAAATTAAAATCTTGAAAGCTGTCCGTGACAGCGACCCGTCGGATCCGAAGAGAAACAAAACTGTTCAACTTCTCAATGATTTCAAAATCACTGGAGTAAATGGCACTCATGTATGTATGGTGTTTGAAGTGTTAGGGCATCATTTACTGAAACTGATTCTGAAGTCTAATTATAGAGGAATTCCGCGTGAAAATGTAAAAACCATTATACGCCAAGTTCTGGAGGGCTTGGATTACCTTCATACTAAATGTAAAATAATTCATACTGATATTAAACCTGAAAATGTGTTAGTGTGTGTTGATGAAGCATACATCCGCAAGTTAGCAGCTGAAGCTACAGAATTACATTCCTTGGGCCTTAGGTTACCCCATTCCCTTATAAGCACGGCACCTAAAGAATTTCAAGAGCAAGTTGTAACTGGTAAGATGAGTAGAAATAAAAAAAAGAAATTAAAGAAAAAAGCCAAACGACAGTCAATGTTACTTAAAAAACAGATGGAACAAATTGAAGAAATTGAAGAACAAAAGAAGGGTTCCAACAGTGAAACGGCACCTATGTCCCAGGACAACGATGACTCGCCTCAAACACCCGAGGAGGTCAGTGTTATAGAAAATACTCGATCTGACAATGATTCTAACATTAATGGGTGCAATGACATGCAAAGACCTGACGATGATGTATTTGATACTGATGCTGAATCAGTGCAAGTGAGAAAGCAGTACATGAGTGGGGATGACGCCGGTACTCCTATGTCCGAAGGAGAAATGACTGACACCCCACCTTCTTTCAATTCTCAAAATAAAGGAAAAACTGAAAAGAGACCCGACCCTGCATTTGATGTTTGTGATGTGGAAGTTAAGATTGCTGATCTCGGTAATGCTTGCTGGGTCCATAGACACTTCACAGAAGACATCCAGACCAGACAGTATCGTTCCTTAGAAGTCTTGCTCAGTGCGGGCTACGGCACTTCGGCAGATATCTGGAGTACGGCTTGTATGGCATTTGAGCTGGCAACTGGAGATTATTTATTTGAACCTCATTCCGGCGATGGCTACAGCCGTGATGAAGATCATTTAGCTCACATCATCGAGCTACTCGGAGACATTCCTAAGAGAATTGCAGGTTCAGGAAAGTATTCTAAGATATTTTTCAATAAGAAGGGTGAATTGAGAAACATTACAGGGCTTAAACCTTGGGGCCTAGTGTCTGTTCTTACTGAAAAGTATGAATGGAGTCAGAAGGATGCGGAGGAGTTTGCCGAGTTTTTGAAGCCTATGTTAGATTTTGATCCCAACCGACGAGCGACGGCATACGAGTGCCTGCAGCACAGTTGGTTGCAGGTTGAGAAGTCAGAACAAAATGAGTCTGAGGATTAGCTGCTCTCTGTAAAATGAATGTTCACACATTCTTGAAATCAGTAGTGTCAACATTCTATGTATTTCTGTGTTTTACGTTTTAATCAAAGTTTATTTATGGATTTGTTTGTGAATAGTTTAATTTGTATCTAGATGTTTTGTTAGCTGCCCTTGTTTTGAGAGTTAAATTGTGTGCAGATGAGAGGATATTGTATATGACCATCTTAGTCAACCAACCTACTCTGAGGTAGCAATGTATATAATACAAATGTTCCTCATTTCGTAGTATCTAATTAGATTGGCATTTATAAATCTCCAAATTCCCCAAAATTGTACAGATAGCTGTAGTAAAAATTGTGATGTATGATGACATATAGACAATATAGGTTTGGTCACATAAAGTTAGTTATCATAGTTGACATAGTATTGCACCATACCACCTAAAATGTGAGGAGCCATGCAAGGTTTGCATGCATGTAGCCATTCAGGTAGTAAATATGTTCACATAGTTTAAGTTTGTCTTTTATCACTATCACAAAAATCTCATAATGTAAACTTAGAGATAAGACAGTATTTGTAAAGCCACTTTTCCGAGACTGCCTTTTTATATATATGAGTGAGTCATATAAAAAATACTAGGAATGGTTGCAATCATCTGTTATCGAGAGGCAGTGACACAGTGACCTTAACCAGTTAATAGTTATATTATTTACCATAGATCCCAATTTACATGACCATAATTTGTATTAATTATATCTGCAAATTTACATAAATAAAATTATGAAACGAGCTTGTTATTATGGATTTTTTACTTTATATCCTTAGAGATGTGAGAATGAAGAATTAATAAGAGTTTGTTCTTGATATTTTTGATAATCCTTGAAAGTTTTAAAAATAGTTTATATATATATTGAAAGAGATTATATATAATGATAATGCTAATTTTAATTTTATTAGGCTCTAGGCCTGAATGGTGTATGAATAGGTATGTGGTTTCCATTTAGGAGCGGCAGGAAGTAATGTAGTTACTCCCACTAAGGTTATTGTACACTAGGGACAATGTGCTATTATCATTGGAACACAATGTTTGGTAACATGCTTTGATTTTAATATCTGTATAAAAATACTATAAAATATACTAATATATATATTTTTATTAAATTATATGGACAAAAGTATGACTAAATATATTTATTTATATATAACATGGGCATAATAATATCATTGCACATTATTAACATGAGTATAAATAGTCAGAATAGATTAAATTTGTGCTTTAATAATGGCTTTTAAGAGAAAAAAGTATGTTCAAATAGCTTTATGTCTAGTTTATAACAGAATGTAAATAAATATCAATCCTATGCATTGTTAGAGAAACAGAAATCGCTATTAGGCTACTCAAAATTGTGAAATTATTTAAAAATGGAATTAAAATCATACTTAGTGTTGCCATGTTAGTTTATTTGAAGTTTAATGTCGTTACAGCTTAAGTGGTAGTTGAAGCAGCGTTATTGAAATAAATTGATGTAGGTGTTTGTTGATCTTCAATAATATTAGTATATTTTCCTATAGTCGTTGCATTTAACCAATACATTCTAGAACTGTCAAGATGTAGTCAAACACACATTTTATTATCTCACAAAATTTAATAAAGAAGTTATAAATTTACTGAATGAAAATCATTAATTAAACCTGTATATTAGATATCTTTATTTAAGTTTGTGTTATTATTTGGATAGTTTTGAAAGAAACAGTATTATAGATATTTTAATAATTTATAATTGTGGTTTAAATTTTTTTTTTGGTTTCAATAGGTACAATTTCTATCTTTATAGTGTGGTAGCATGTTTTATAGAAACAGAAGTTTATGTCTTAGAAATATATAATCAGTTAAAAAAATATTTTTATAATAGGATTACATAGTTTTTTCTTATTAATTAACTTTTGGTGGTAGGAAAACATTAAAATTCGCTATCTGAGGATTGAAAAATCGGGCCTTAATGAAATAAGCCTAATTGGATTTGCCTGTTTAGCTCAGCATTGGTAGATGTTTAACTTTTTCAATAGATGGCGCTGTATTTTAAACTCGTTGAATTTATCAAACGATACATATATCTAATGAACTAAATAAATATCTATAAGTTTTTAAATTTATTGGTACTTTTTGGACATAAATTGAAATAAGAATGTTTGAAACGTTATCAAGGAGTATGAAGAAGGGTATGTTGCGTTTTTATATGGATAGATGTCTCTTGCATAAGAGTTTTCTTAACTTTACGTTCGTCTGGGTTGCGTTCGGTCTTTTAAAGGCTTACATTGTTAATACAAGTTATATTTTATAGAACTTAGAGACATTCATTATTTTGTGATATGAATTGTAGAATACACACAAAAGATCTTTATTAGATTTATTATAATCACACAACAAAAGAGAACTTAAAATTGTGATTATTTTTAGTTAAGTTCACATAGACTCAGAGCGAACGTAGTAAAAATATTCTACTTATTCCTATAAACTATATAAAAATTATATTCTGAAGACCTTATTAAAAAAAAATGTTATGCTTTATTCTGTATATGCCGGGCTTTAAAAGTAAGTAAAGAAAACTAGGTTGGCGCACACTGACGCTGTATGCCTTGGACATATATTTTGACGACTGGAATTAAAGCTGAATATTATAGGACTATTTTCGTAGGTAATATGCTTGACAATTACCTGTTCCTGCACCTTAGGGTAAGTGAATCGTTTTATTTGCTGCTTGAGTTTTGATAATATTCCTGTATTTTAAATAATTAAATAGAATATAGGCTAAAGTTTTAATTTACTATCTCCTGGTCAAGATTTAAGTATATAATCTGTGAGTCAAATCCGGCTGTATGTAATAGGATGAGTAATATTCCACCTGGCCATCGGTATCAAGATCTGACAATAGAATTTTTTAATATAAGGTGGACCTTTGACTATAAAATTCAATTCTACTTCATTAACAATTTTACTCTCCATCTTTCTTACTGCTTTTATTAGGAAAAAGTTGGTTATATTGTCACAAGGTCTGCATGTAACGTGTGTAAAGAATTTAAATTAAAAATGTAATTGCGATGTAATAGAAATTAAAAAAATACAGTTAAAAATAAGGTTTAAACTTATTAAATATTTAAAAATAAATTGTTCTCTAGAGTCTATAGGATTAGAGGTAAAATAATATATCTCTTATTTTATATTTGATTCCTTCTATTTGACGCTTTTTTAAAAATCGTAATCATAATATTTAAATAAATTAAATATGTATTATATTAATAATATCTGATTCTAGAAACAATAGCTAATTGTCATTGTGTTTTTTTTAAATTTAATAATGGTCTAATTCTTTAATACCAATGTGTTTATCAATTCATGTGAAACACTTTATTCTGATATTATCCTACTAATATTATAATTGCGAAAGTTTGTGTGTGTGTATGTTTGTTACTCCTTCACGCTCAAACGGCTGAACCGATTTTGATAAAATTTTGTATACAGAAAGCTGACGTCCAGGAATAACAGATAGGCATTATAAATCCCTACTAATATTATAACTCTGTCTGTCTGTTACGCTTTCACGCCTAAACAATTGAACTGATTTTAATGAAATTTGGTACAGAGATAGAGTTGACCTTGAGAAAGAACATAAGATAGTTTTTATTCCAGACTTTTGAATGGTTCTCTAGGAAACGCGATATAACCGAACTCCAAGTGGGCGAAGCTGCGGGCGGAAAGCTAGTCTTTTATAAAACCGTATTTATCTTTAAATTTTTTAAGAGGTAGTATGTTTTTAACAATAATTTTAGAGAAATTTATTTTTAAGTAAATGATTGAAAATGATTCTAGAATATTGTGAATACATAAATTAATGTTATAACAAAATTGTTAATGAATAAAAAGCACGCAATGAAATTACTCCATTCGTATAATTATTAATTAATTCATACAGTTGTATCGTATCTAGAGTCTAGAACATTATTTTCTTTAGGAAAGATCGTAAGCAAATCTTTAATTTAAAACTATCAACTGTCGAAAACAATATGGCTGGTGTTGTCAGTGTTGGTATTTCACGACGCATGCGCGTTGTAACACAACTCGACCTTCTCCCGTCCTTAACTCTTAGTCGATGGCACGCCACGCACTGTTATGCCGTACATGCAAATAAAACAACATCACTTTCCCTTTCATTACTTTCTGTTTATAAACTCGCGTGTGTAAGGTGATGTAATTAACATTTTGTGTTGAAAGTTATACTAGACGTTCTGCAAAAGGTTTGTAGTTAGTTTTATATGTAATTTTTGGTATGTTTAACTGTAAATGTCACTATTTTTGATATTTTAATTTCATAACTTCAATCGCTAGTCTGACCTTGACTCTGAACCTTATCTAGGTAAGAGTTTAAGAACCTTTCATAGGTCACATTAATAAACATGATCTATGAAAATTGATTTATTTTAAAATAATTAAAGTGTGGTTTACATTTTATTTGATAGGGGATGTAAAATTATCTTATTTCCTAATTTGATAACTACAATACATAGTCTGTAATCTCAGATAGATGTTGATTTATTTATTTAAACTTCACTCAATTGTCTCAAAATGATTTTGATATTTTTATTAAAAAATATTCTTTTAGTTATGTTATAATCATCTGGTTTGTAAAAATCTCTGAGTGATTTTAGCATGTTTCATAAAAAAAATTCGTTGTCATTAAAAATACAGATTCTAAATTTTTGGAAGAAATATGGATATTTTGTTTTTAATTTTTATGATGTTTTACACTGTCATTGCTTATAGATAAAAATTATAGATAAAAAGTCGTAGTCTCATAGTTTACCCAATGCATCTTGTTTGTTGTAACTTATAAGTGTTGAACAATTTATTATTTTTTTCTTTAAGCGTCTGTAAATGACAGGTATTCAGAAACAGAGAACAAGAATCCAACGCCACGTCTTGAGTGGGTCTGGAGGCTACTTTAATTTTATGGTTATTGCTCTTC